TGCCAAAGTCAAGGGCTTTTCTACTGTGATGTACGTCTTACATGGTGATATTCCCCGCGCGCGATACCAACCGACGGATCGAAACAATAAAATGTTGACTTTTGAATGACAAAGCATTTTGATCAACATACATTAAATGCGAACCGTTAGATTTGGGACTATATGTATAATCGAAACTTTTCAATAATTGACTCTATATGTCAATATTTGTATCTTTTTTCTCAAGATTTTGAGGTAAAAGGTATCAAGCGAAAGCTAGATTTTGAATATGATAAGAAAAAAAAAAACAAGAATCAAAGGCAATTTAACGAATGTCGTGGTGCTTTATTCTTGGCAACTTTGAGCTATTCTCGGACCCTGAGCTTTCGTGTAAAAGACTATGATTTATAGGTCATTTGGTGGGTAGGAATGCAAATACAAATTCAAAGAATGAATCTTGCATTTATTTTGCGAAAAATAAATAATTTAAAAAGTATTTTCTCAAAATCAATCACTTATATCGATTATAAAGACGAATGAACGAACCAAAATTTTTTACATAATCAACCAACAATTAATATAATGGGATCGAATTGCAAGCATTTGCAGTTTGCTCTGTCTTTTTTTTTCCTAGAACAATATAGCATTGAATCATCAGAATGTTAATGAGCAAATTTTTTTTTCAATCATCAGGACGCGAAGAGAGAATTCCGTAGGCTTAGGGAATACAGATAAAATAACAAGCAAATAAAAAAATTTCTCAAAGCCCAAAGTCAATCTATTGATATCTGCAGCATCATATGTATTAGCACCACGACGAAATTCCTTTCGAATGTAGCATTTTGCGTAATCCAAATGACAACATTTATTTATCATTTTCCTTCGAAATTGTCACATGATCCCCAGCACTTTATATCTTCCTTTTATATTAAATTAACCATGAAAGTAATCAAAGCTAATGGCGCATAAACAATCGATATACCCGGCTCATCATTTGAGATAAGCAAGCCATTAATGTATGACTGAACCATGGATGATTTGCTTGATAGACTGCTTTTCTATAGTACTAACTTAGATTTAGATGACTAATTAGTTATTGGGGAGTGTTTAATTTAGGACATTAATTTTGGCTTCTAGATGATAATAACATGACTAAGTCTATTTCGAGACCATATTAACTTGCGCATTACATTATAAAATAAAGCGGGTTGATTGCATATTAAAAATTCGGTCAAGCAAATTGGTTATGAAACCGAAACCTGTATTGACCTTTACTTCAAAAGAATATGGACATGGACGTGTCGGTCTAGATAAATAATAGTTCTAGCCGTGATTGATTCTGTTCGCAACGTTGGTACCGATATTTTTCTCCTATTTTCAACGAAACATCAAAAAGAATACTCGGGATGTGTATGTCGATGTAGACGGCACAGGAACCCTAGTTGATTAGCCTTTCAATACACCTGATGATTAGAGACAGAGAAAATAGGAGCCCGCTACCCTTGATGCTTTGAAGACTTTCCTTGGATCCTTGGTGTTCGGTTAGTAACCTCACTAAAAGGAATGTTAATGAGCTTATTTTTCCTCATCAGGACGTGAAGAGCGAATTCCTTAGGCTTAGGGAATACAGATAAAATAACAAGCAAATCACACATTTTCTCAAACCCCAATTTCCTTTTGTATCTTTTTCTTCCCCGGGTAGGGAATACTGTTAAGGAAAATTCCCAATAGTTTTTGAAGTTGACAAACTGCCCATGAGTGTTTTGTAAGTCGATAAATGCTTTGAAGTATTTTGATTCGGGAAGTTTTTTTTGGAAGAAAAGCATATGTCAATCTTGATCTAGTTCGTGTTCAGATTGTGAAAGAACTTCAAGCAAAAGAGATTCGGACTCGAGCGAGAAGTTCGGACTCGTAACGAGAAGTTCGGACTCGAACGAGAAAGTTCGGACGAGAATTTCTTCGAGGACGCAAATTCTTAAGATGCAGTGCGCTGAAATTATTGACTTGTACGCACTGAAATTATTCGGACGCTTGACGCTAAAATTATTCGGACTGATTCGAACGAAACATAACGGTAGTGATCTCGGTATGGATTTCACGAAGGAAAGTTTTGATTGTCTCAATCTAAGGCTATAATTGATTGACAATCAAACATTATGACAAGTATACATTACAACGGATAAAGCTCTACTTATGGAAACCAAGATTCGATTGTATGGGCGGCCGAGAATCGAGCGGGATTGATTTTATCAACCAACGGCTACTCAATCCATTTTATACAAATCTGTCCAAAGGTGAATATTGGAAGATGATCCTGCGAAGGCGTCCAACGGCTAGTTTGGAAGTGGAGGAGTATAAAGGAGATCAACGAGGAGCGGAGAAGGTAGAGAACGAAATCAAGAATCAACAAGTCCAAAGTTTGAGCATACTCCGATTCAATCTCTTGTCTTTCGTGAGCTTAAACGTGTAATCATTTGAGAGGTGTAGACAGGTGTTATAGTGTGTGTGCTTAGGTGTGAGATAGTGTGATCTATCGGCTTGGTATAAGCAGCACCAACTTCGGGAGAAGTGCTTGGGTTTAAGCGGCACAACTGCACAACTTAACAGAATCTCTCATTGATTTGATTAGTGGAATCCGGCCGGGTAAGCATGGCGTGGGAGAGTGGACGTAGGCTTGCTATAAGCCGAACCACTATAAACTTGTGTGCGGATTCTCTATCCCTTATCTCTTACTTTACATTCGCACATCAAGAGCCATGTCTATATAATACATGTCTTGAATCTGAATTTTATTCAGACTCTTCTGCGATTTATTTTGTTTCCGCATAAATTATTAAAACTTGTTTTAGATCACCTATTCACCCCCCTCTAGGTGATCCTTGCTAGCTACATCAAATACCTCATAGAAGTTTTACTTTCCAGTGATCTCGAGATCCGAACGAGAACGGAGATGAAGCCTTTTTAGGACATGCTTAGGTCCGATTGGCCTTTTAATACAGCTGATGATTAGAGACAGAAAAAACGGGAGCTCGTGACCCTTGAGACTTTGAAGACTTTATTAATTTGCACATCTATCTAAGACGATGCAAGGCAGGCATCATCTTCTCCAAGCTTTGATTGAAGAGTAGCTAGAAAAATACACCAGAAAGTAGACAAAAGAGCCCACAACAAAATAAGACATTAAACAATTTTACTTTGTAATTGGGAAATGGGCATTATGAGGATGAAAGTGATGTCTCTGATCCAAGATTCTCCTGTGCAAAAGGTCTCCTCCTACAGACGTTTTCTTTTCATTCGGGACAAGGAAGAAGACGACAAGAAGCTAGGGCAAACGAAAAAGATAAGTTGGTGGTCTCGCCATGGATCTTCATTACTCTTTCTTGTAAGTTGAAAGTAAACGCGCAGGGAAAAAGTTAATAAAGAAATTAGTGGAATATTGTATGATTGGGATGCTATAGAATGTATTTCTCATGTACTCTTAACGGGTTTAAGGGTTTAAAAGATTATAGCGATGTCCACATCTATGAATTAGTATCAAAATCAGAGATTTTCAATTCGATTTTTCACGTCTAATTTCACCTATCTATGGGGGATGAGTTTCATCCAAACTTTCCTACACATGTCGAGTGTGTTCGTTATCTTTTTGGGACTTTGAGCTTCTATCTAGCATAGCAAGAGGAATAGTCGAAGCAATAATAGTTTTCACCCTTCTCACTAATAAAGTGCCCTTTCTCTTTACATGACTCGACAAGATTCAGGCGTCGATAATCACGTTTATATAGTGTACGTACGTAGTGGCACCGTTGCCTACACCGTAGGTTTTATATAGGAAACCTGACAAATTTCCTAGAATCCCACTTAATGGCCCACCAAGTGGTCTCCTATAAATTAAACCTGTGGAGACTTGCTCCGTGGCCATCATTCCCACTTGGGAATAGGAAGGTTGGGAGTTTATAACTTCCCTCTTGCGAATAAGGGGTTATGGGTTTATGGAGTCTCCCGCCAAACTCCTCGTAGATGAACTCCTCGTAGATGACCTCCCCCGACCTCGCCCGAACCCTCGTAGATGAGCTCCAAAGTCGAAAAATATTCTTGGCGGACAATAAAAACGCAATAAATCAGAAACCCAAAAAAAAAGTGACAAAAAAAAAAAAAATTAAAATATTATTTAATTTGTTTACCAGAAACATCATCATTATAAAATCATCGAAATTCGGTCATTCAATGTCAAAATGACTAAATTGGCACAAAAACAAAGTTTAAACGTCAATTTAAAAGGTTTACTAGACAAAAAAATGTAGAATTTCAAAAGTTTAGAATTGGCATCAAAACCTTTTGTTTGATGCACTTTTCCCGTAGAATTTCTATTAGTTACCTCTTCAATATAAAGCATTTTTCGCACTTGCAGTCGCGAAAGAAAAAATATTCGTCATTTAACAAAATTAATACAATTGTCAAAATTAAAACACGAATACCCTAATTCACACAACTTAAAAGCATCGATAAATTCTACTCAAGTCATGGAAAACCCAGTTAACTCGAAAATCAAACTGGCAATCATCTCGTGACTAGCCAAAATTGAAATTTATTTAATATTTATAAGTATATTGAATTTGTTTGAATAAAATTATTTACCTCGCTACTCTTTTCTTTTCGTACAACTTCACTTTTTCATCGTGCTATCCAACTTTCGAATTTTTCTCCCTTGTTCGGTAATACTTTGAACATCATTAAATTTAGGTTAAAATACATGCGCAGTTACTAATTCGACTTTCATGGTATCTATAATCGGTAAAAATGTTCTCGAGAGTACAATACAAAAGAAATTGAGTTTTAAATTTAAGTAGTTATACAAAGTGTCAAAAAGTTCGCAAGCATAAAGTATACTTCCTTCTTGTTGGTTTCATTTTGTTTATTTTTTGCAAAAACTAATGTTTTGTCAAGATTTCTTTCTAAATCAGCATGGTCCACCCTCTCTTTATAAAATCCAGCAACCCAAAAAATAGAAGTCTTTCCTCTCCATCTCTCTCTCTCTCCGTCTCCCTCTCTAAACAATGAATTTGCGAGCGAAGAAGCTGCGGTTCTCGCGCATGTTCCGGCCCTCCTTCGCCGCCTCCTGCAGCTCGCGCACCATCGCCCAAGTCATCCACCGGTCCGTCCCCGTTCGCCGACCGCCCTCCTCGCCGCCCGATTCCACCCGGACCATCTTCAGCGACTCCGACACCGTCTCCCCCTCGACCTCGAACGACTCCCGGTTCCCGCGCCGAACCTCGTCCGAGCGGTATCCGCCGTCCGTCCTCAGGGACGACGACCACCTCGGCCGCCGGTGCCCTCCTTCGACGCCTATCACTCCATTTGTCAGACGACTACCCCGGCCGCCGGTGCCCTCCGTCGGAGAAATTAATAACAGAAGTCGAGTCGAACACACCGAGAAGAAGGCGACGAAGGAGGAGGAGAAAGAGAAGTGCCCGTACAGCTCGTCGACCACGTCGCGGGAGGACTGGTTCAGCAGCGACGACGAGAGCGACGCGCGCCTCTCCTCCTCCCGCTCCCTCTCGTCGGACTCCTCCGAGACCCGCCGCCGGCGCCGGCGCCGGAGAAGGAGCGGCGCGGCCGGGGCCGGGGCGCCGCGGCTGGCCGGCAGGGAAATCGAGGACAGCTTCGCGGTGGTGAAGCGGTCGAGTGACCCGCGGGGGGACTTCCGGCAGTCGATGGTGGAGATGATAGTGGAGAAGGAGATGTTCGGGGCGGAGGAGCTGCAGAAGCTGCTCGAGTGCTTCCTGGCGCTGAACTCGCACCACCACCACCGGGTGATCCTGCAGGTGTTCGCCGAGATATGGGAGGTGCTGTTCTCGAGCCGGTCGTGAGGCCTGCAATTTCTCTTTCGCATGTTTCGTTTGTCGGGTGCTGTCGTGTGTAGAGATATGTAGTTAGTGTCCCAACTTGCATTGACCCGATTGATCCAGCAGGATCATCATCGTAGTTTTGCTTGTATATTCCTATCATCATCTTTCCGATTCTCGTAGTTTTCGTGTTTTCATTTTCTTTTCGGCGGATGATTGGCCAAATTGGAAAGTTTCTCTTAGCTTTACCCATCGTCATCGTCGTCGACTCAAATGGTCTAAATCACGAGTTGCGATTCCCAGCGCACAATACCCAAGCACCTCTTAAATGAAAATTTTGGAAAAATTTCGAAAACTTATCTGACATTTCACCCAACGATCACTTACTAGAGGAACGTTAACGGCATTGGCAAAACTAGAGATACGTAAATGGTTATTGGGTCAAAAGAGAACTATACTTTCGTCATAATTCCGAACCAAGCTTAGCGTTCTATTGAAACGAAATGATTGACAAAACACTTACTTTTGTGATAACTTTCACATGCTTTACGCGCTTAAAAGATTCGAGATTTTGTACAAGAGATTTTTTTAGGTACTTTCCAAACGAGAGATTCCCATCCATACAATTCATTGGCTGCATCACCCTTTTAAGTCATAGAAAGAAGATTGGCACATTTTGTTAAATGACTTTGAGCAACCCTTAACAAGATAAACTTTCCCAAAAGGTCCTTTCAGAGACGTGGATCTTCCCATCTGGGTCGGTACCTTGTCCCCCTGTGTTAGCAATTGACATTGTTGATGCAGGAGATAAAAGAATGTCATGGGAGACTTTCAAAGTTCAAATCGAACTTAAGCATGCTATGGCTGGCAGCACACTAATTGCATTTTGCTTCCTCTCTTGTACCAACTCTAAACGAACAAAACACACACACATCTATATAATTATGTGCATAAATTTGTATGTATGTGTGTATATTTATATTGAAAAGTCAAGACAAATGAAAGTCTATTGAGGCGCAGTGAATATAGAAATAAGGGCACGTCCCAGCACCACCGAACCCTATGCAAGTGAAGACAAAAGCCTGCATGGTCTGACAAATGATTTAAACTGCTGTCTTCCCATCTTATTTAAAATGCATTCCTATGCTTAGGCCTTCCCCGACAAACTTATCAGCATTTGACACAAGATAATCCTAAGTATACAAATAAAGGAAGCAAATTCTCACCATGAGTCATTTACTATGAGTTGCGAGAGAACAAAAACCCTCGTTGAACTTCATATAAAAGGCCAATTAATCTATAGCTGGATTCCATTCGTATGGAGATTGGACACACACAATTTATTTAATTCTTTAGTATATGTCAATTTTAGTGTCGGCAGATATGAGATCTTCTCTTTCCGTTTGAGTGCAGATGAGATCCAATGATGGAAGCACAGCCTCTAAAATAAGTCGTTCGTGAATCACGGGATAGATAATTCAGATTACATATAGACCAAGAAAATAAAACATTTTGTGGGATCCATGCCGACTGTTTTGAAACTTTAAACTGATAGATGAAAACTTTGTTTAGAATTTAAGATATTATGATGCTCCCATGGAAGTATATAATAAGAGAAGCAAACAAGGTATGTGGAAAGATTAGAACTCGGAACCTCCTGCTCTAATACTATGTAAAAATCCAATGAGATCACGCTCAACTGTTTTAACAACTTAAATTGATAAATGAAGGCATGGTTTATGATTTAAATGTTCTAACACAAAACGGGTCAACGTAGCCTTTGGCTACAGACTCAATTATCTTACGCACGCGACAAAGGATCGGTTTGAATCTCTTTCCGTCTTTCGCAAGAACCGCTTACCGATTTTTTAAACCTAATTTGAGTTTCTCAATACGCTACCTCTACCTTCAGCTGTACCCAACATCGCCCCATTAATATATGCAGAACCCAATCACCGAACTGGTGCATCGTTGGGATCCAAAGCGTACCAGCTGCTACTAATTTTAGACGTAAATGTTATGCATCAAGACCTTATTTATTCAATACCAACATGTCGTACGGTTCCCAACTTCTTTTCTTAATATTTGTCTCCACAGTCCAGAATGGGGTACAGATTATGAGTAAAAACTATTGTTATGTCGACCCAAATGATCATTTTCGGCCGTCGGATCTTGATTCTTCTTCTTCCCTGGGGCTGAGAAAACCGTTGATTCGAGAAGGCGTCAACGACATGATTAGCGTAATGGATGGAGACAAGAGAACCAACTCTGAGTCTTTCTTGCGGCGTTGCGGGTGGAGCGAAGAGACAAAACGTGTTATCGTGGCGTGTTAGGTGCACCTCCGAGTTCGATAGCATTGCGAATTAAGTTAAGACCAAGCCGAACCGCCCTTGCCACCACCTGTTAAGGAAAATTCCCAATAGATTTTGAAGTTGACAAAACTGTCCATGAGTGTTTTGTAAGTCGATAAATGCTTTGAAGTATTTTGATTCGGGAAGTTGTTTTTGGAAGAAAAGCATATGTCAATCTTGATCTAGTTCGTGTTCGATTGTGAAAGAACTTCAAGCAAAGATTGACTCGAACGGAAGTTCGACTCGAACGAGAAAGTTCGGACGCGAATTTCTTGTTGGCGCTGAAATTATTCACGACGCCGAAATTATTCGAGCGCAGCTAAAATTATTTGAACGAAACATAACCTAGTGATCGGTATGGATTTCACGGAATGAAAGTTTTGATTGTCTAAATCTAAGGCTATAATTGATTGACAATCAAACATTACGACAAGTATACATTACAACGGATAAAGCTCTACTTATGGAAACCAAGATTCGATTGTATGGGCGACCGAGAATCGTGGGATTCGATTTTATCAACCAATGGCTACTCAATCCATTTTATACAAATCTGTCCAAAGGTGAATATTGGAAGATGATCCTCGAAGGTGTCCAACGGCTAGTTTGGAAGTGGAGGAGTATAAAAGAAGATCAACGAGAAGCGAGGAAGGTAGAGAACGAAATCAAGAATCAACAAGTCCAAAGTCCGAGCATACTCCGATTCAATCTCTTGTCTTTCGTGAGCTTAAACGTGTAATCATTTGAGAGGTGTAGACAGTGTTATAAGTGTGTGCTTAGGTGTGAGATAGTGTGATCTATCGACTTGGTATAAGCAAGACCGGCCGGGGAGAAGTGCTTGGGTTTAAGCGGACAACTTGTCGTAACTTCTCATTGATTTGATTAGTGGAATCCGGCAGGTAGGTGTAAGCGTGGGAGAGTGGACGTAGGCTTGCTTTATAAAGCCGAACCACTATAAACTTGTGTGCTGGATTCTCTATCCCTTATCTCTTACTTTTACATTCTCGACATCAAGAGCCTGGTCTATATAATTGTCTTGAATCGAATTTTATTCGACTCTTCTGCGATTTATTTTGTTTCCGCATAAATTATTGAAACTTGTTTTAGATCACCTATTCACCCCCCTCTAGGTGATCCTTGCTAGCTACATCACCACCCACCAGCATTTGAGCAAAGAGCAGCTTCGTGCTTGGTACCTTTATGAGGATCAGGCCAGACCTCCGTGATTTACCACCAGACACCAACATGGGGATGTCTTGTCGTGCTTGTAGGATGATCAATCAATCTGTCATGTGTATATGACTGACCTCTGGGTGCCTTATTGGATGTGTGAAGGCTATAATGTTGCCTAAGGCCATAACCCCAATTTTATGAATTCGAATAGGATAAAGTACGTTGGGTAACACTACAATGTTGCGAAGCCATGGAAGTGGCCGGAGACAGAGATGTGCCTGCCGAATTAGCGCTAGTGGTCGGATAGGTGGTTACTTGTAAAAGTAGAATGGTAAAATGAGGTGAATTTCAAGAAATAGTTCTTCATTGTGAATGAAATGTGAGATTTTATGGGATCATTGTCAATTGTTTTAAAAGTTTAAATTGTTTTATGAAGGTGTAGTTTGATATCCTAATATGAAAAAATTTCCTTTTATTTATTTAATTTCGCAATATACATCAATGATCTAGAACGAGGAACCTACCATTGGTAAGGTGTTTGAAGTACATCAATTTTTATTTGTGATAAGTGACAACATTGCAATTGAACTACATTAACCAAATTAATTAGTCAATAACATTAAGGGTGGGCATCAGTCCCGGAATAGGAATGAATTGGTTGGTTTAAGGCCGATTCCTGGTCTCGAAAATTTGGAACCAGCCTTGACTGATCCAATTTTTGGTTCAGGTCCTGCACCGTCGATTCTACTCAGGAACCTGGACCGAACCAGTCCAATACACAACCTGAGTTTAAGTTTCTCACATTCGGCTTTCTCGTTTTTCACTTTCTCACTTCAAATCTGGCTCTGTCTACTCTCTAGCATTTCAAATTTGGCTCCTCTCTCCAGAGGTGCCATTCGATCTTTCTCTCTCTTATTTTTGCTTGATTGTCTTAGATCCTCATAGTAGAGTTCTTTGTGCACATTGAAATCCAAGGCCCCGTTCCACTCCTCGAACCCCAGCTCGATGAAAGCATGCTTCGCCCTGGCGTCATCGATTCAGAGCATAGAGTTGTGGGTGGACAAAGCAGGCGACGAAGAGCTCACCAAAGCCTGGACCCTTGAGGTGGATCTCACAACGGTCCTTGCAAGTAGGGGTGTGCAATTGGACTAGGTTTACCCGAGAACCAAATCGGACCACTCGAAAAACAGGTCTGAGAACCAGTTCCATTTTTTGGGAACCGGTTGGAATCGGTTCGATTCTAGGTTCCAAGTGAAGACCCACCCTAGAACTGGACTAACCTGACTTGTTTTGAAACCGGTTTTTAGCTTGTGTTAAAAAAAAAACTTAAATCATACTATTACTATATTTTGGATTGTTGTTTTTGGTGGATAGTAATTTGTATTGCTCATCTTAGGGATTGTTGCTTTTGGCATATAGTGATTTTTACTATTGATTTTTAATTTGAACCGTTTTATTGTTACCCATATTATTTTGCTGGAAAAAATGAAACCGGGAAAAGGAACAAAAGAAAAACAAGTTCTTGTGTGCACCTGGAACCAAACCGGAAAAACATGTAGGTTCCAAAACAGGTTTCAGGGAAAACATGACAGGTTCCAAGTTCCAAAAATTAGGAACCCATTATAAGTTATAACAAGATAGGTTCCAGGTTCCAAGTTTAGAACCTACCCATCCTGGAACCGATCACCCCTACTTGCAAGAGAAGATACGGAGGCGATCGAACTAGAACTTGGTGACGAAATTGAGGCATTGGATCGCCAAATCTTGATCTGTGACGCCCTCTAAATCGTCGAGAATGTTGCGCAAGTAGTCTTAGATTCGCTTTGCCTTCGGCGAGCTAACATTCGAGTTGGCATAATCGAGATGTGGTTTGAGTCACAGGATTGGTTTCCAATTTTATGTGGAGAACCTATGCATCCGGAGAGCCAATCACCCCAAGATGACGTAGTTTATAATCCCACACAATAATTTGGCCTTGTACTATGAAGTATCTCAATTTCTATCCACACCCTTTATGCGTGAACGTATAGTTGGAGACCTCGATACTACAAAAACAACTGCTTTGTGCGGGCCTAAATGAAGTGACCTCTCTATTGTCAGGCCCAGGTTTCAGTCGGGAGACCATTTCTTCTCCACATGACCATTTCTTGTCCACATGAAAGATTGTTTCTTCCTATTCGGAGCAAAATATAGGAGGAGAGAGTGTAAACCCCAGGTAAAAAAATCAGAACTAAACCATGAATTTCGATTTCGATCCCTCAATTGTTCTATACTTTTTGCCCTTTCGCCCGAAAGTTCAGCCAAATTTTTAACGAATTGTGGACGTGGCGGACCCAAGGGTGCATTTTTACAATTGCAAAGCACAAATGTTTAATACGTTGAGTGATTAAAATCAAAATTTCGTGACTAGATTGCCGGTCCGCTAAAATTTAGAGCACGCCAAAGTGAATTCAAGTCCAAGCCCATTAATATATCCAGTTGGATCCACATTCACTCAAAAACTTAAGTTGTTAGATTAATACATGGTTTAATATTTAATCACTCTAACCCAGTGACCATATGTCGAGTTTACTTGTTTCAAGCTTTCAGTCCTACAAATAACCTTTACCCAATGGAGGATATAATGTGACCTTTAATATGTTATTATTAGGATATTTTCTTATATAATACTTATAATGCCACGAATTGATTTCCATTAAATATGTATGAGCAAATTCTTACAGGAAAAATTCGCATATGATTTCAGAACTAGCACTATTTCTCGGGCGATAATCTTCAAACTTGTCACTTATGCAATCAAGACCTTGAATTTGTAGAGCTTTCCAATCAGATCTCCCAATTTATAATGATGGAACGAAGGTTGATGTATCTGTCAACACCATCCAAAAGTTTTATGAACCCATGCCCTCATGAAAAAACCAATTCGAATCAAACATACTATAAAAATTCTAATTCAAACATAACTGAATCTAAATGTAGACGATGTTCATACTAATCACCCATTAATTAAAAGTATTATCAGAAGAAGATATAGCCCACAATAGAAAGAGTTCCACGAGGAAGACATGCATATATAATCATATTGTATCCGAACGTTAAAATGTCTATGTGAACAATGTCGAGTTTCAAGTGGTTATCGCCTAGAAGAGATCAACTTTCATGCATGGTTGTCCCAAGTCCTACGGTCTATTGATGTGACCGGAACTTATTAAGAACATTCAATAATGAGTACACACCAAGAGTCTATTCTCGGATAAGCCCTCCAACTAAGGGTGATCAATTCCATTGTAGATTAGGAATTGGAACCTACTCTGTCAGAGTCCGTATTTCAGTTTTTGGAATAGGAAATTGGCTTATTGTTTCTTTCCATTTCTTTTTTTATTTAGTTGCTCAACCATATGAAAATTGCCTATGCGGACATCCCAAATGGCCTTCTCATGTTGGAATGACATGGGGTGATCAGTTCCCCGCCCGGTCCGAACCGATCACACCAAGAAATTAGAAATTGGACCAAAAGAACTGATTCCTAATTTTTGGAACCGAGAATGGGACTGGAGGAACTGGTTGCAACTTAAGAAAGACCGAGGGTTAACGACGAAGACAGAGAGATGGAGTGAATGGCAACAAATGAAGAGGGACAGAGTGCAAGCGAGAGGGACGGGAAAGAACGAGAGGTAAAGGAATGATAGGAGAAACTGGAAAGAGGGGGTAGGGGTGTCAAAACCAAACAGTATACCCAAACCGGAACACAAACCGACCCGACCCGATCCGAAATTTTGGGTATTTTCGGGCCGAGTCAACTTCATGCTCGGGTATTAGCTAAGCAAATGGGTATCTCAATGGTTTCGGTTCGGTTCGTGTTTAGAACACGAACCGAATCGAAACACCTATATTTTTATTTTTATTTTTTATTTTTAGAATCGAAACACATTTCACTTTGTAGCACTGTCGTTCAACTTGTCCTTCTCCAGAACGTGAAATCGCCCGCCGTCGTCAACTTCGTCCTCCTCGGCGACTCTGCCTCCGTCCTCCTCATCTACTCTGCCGCCGTCATCCGGTCCAAAGAGCTCACAAGTCACCATAGTCCATCTCGAAGTGGTGTCACTAGATCAACGATTCAACCGGCAAAATTTCAAGTCTTCATCTGCGTTTGTGTCTTTGGTAGATAACTTGATAAGTACATCAAGCAAAGATGCATACTTGCATCAAATCCGATAACTTTCAAGCAAATGACGGGACAACATGATGTAATTCCCGGGCAAATCCATGACAGAATCGGTAAAAAGCATGGTTTCGGAGCATCCTGACCCGCATTAAGCAGAAACCAAAACGTGAGAACGGAGACGAGAGGTAATCAAAATCCCCGAATTCAGAGGCAATCGAGGGCGACGAAAATCGGGGATACATGGGAAGCGTCAATTTAGATAAAACAAACACCAACCTTCGAAACAATTGTAACATCGTCAAATATTAGCTTGAACCCAAAAAGACCCGAAATCGGACCTGGCCCGGCCCGACCCGATTTTTGCGTTTCGGGTCATGTTCGGTTCGGGTCAAGAGTCCACATATCATTTATGATTTGGGTCGAGTCGGGTAGCGTGGAGACTAGACCCAACCTGACCCATTGACACACCTAGGTGTAACTTAATCTTAATTTATAATAAAAATCTAAAACACGAACCCGAACCAACCCGACCCAAACCGGCCCAATCGTGCGGCTATATCATGTTCGGGTCTTGTTTCGGGTCGGGCCAAGCACACATATTCATTGTTTCGGATCGGGTTGAATATCATGAAAATCCGATCTGACCCGACCCATTGACACCCCTAAGGGGGGAAAGAGCCAAGAGGGAAGAGAGGGGAAAAAGCATGAGAGGGCAACTGGAAAGAGAGGGACGGGAGGGGAAGGAGACGAGAAGGAAGACTAAAGAGAGGGAAAGACTTGACTTGTGAGAGGGGAAAGGGAAAGTGGAAAGAGATGGAAAAGATTAAAGAGCATTAGGGTTTCTTTCTTTAAAGATTTTAAGAAATAATAATAATAATAACAATCACTTTGGTTCGGGTGGACACTTCCAACCCCGAAATTGGGAATTGGATCGAAAATCACCTGTTCAAAATTTATGAAATCAAGAACCAGACTGATATGCCTAGAACTGCCTAAAATCGACCGGTTTGGTCCGACTCGGGCAATTCCTCGTTCAGTGGAATCCCATTGCTCACCCCCTAGGAATGATCGATCCTATCAATTTTATTTTTTCAGCAGTACTCGATTTGTGGTTTCGCTTTGAGCCGGTTCGGCTCACAAAATTTTTTACTAGGAACCGAACCGGGATTTCATGTGAACCGGCTTAAAATGGGGCCCGGTAATGGGCCGTTCGGGCACAACACCCGACCCGTTGCGTGCTCCTAGGGTTTACCGGATCCTCTATTTAAAACCGTGGAGCGAGCTCGCTCGATGTCCGCCGTCTTCCTCTTCTCCGCATCCTCCCGAGATTTGCGATGGACTGTGCAAATCTCTGCGCTCTCTGTTCAGATGTTCTTTCCATTCTCTCCGACTGATTCGATGTGGGATCTTCGTCAAGATCAAACAGGTATGCGCCTCCCCTATTGCTCGGTGTTCTTTTCTTGAGTGTCCCTTTTGGTCGCCGCCGCCGCTGCCGGTTCCTCGTCGGCGGCCCCGAACCTCCAGCTACGGCGGCTGCCGCGACCTCAGATCCGAGGCCGCGAACTCTTAATCTGAATCTGAGGTCGGACGCCTCCGGTTAGTCAGGCTGCATCGGTGCGAAGGGGGGTGGAGGGCCGAAGGCGAGACGCCGGCGGCGGGCGGATGGTGCTGAGAGGCTGGCTGGCCGGCGACGATGGTGTTGATGTCGCGAAGGGAACGTAATAAGCTAATTAGATGCCATTCGCGTGGTGAGCTATCGTTGTCGTGCTAATGCTGTATTGAAATGGCCGAACAGGAATGTGGTCCAGTAGCACCATACATGTCTAGAAATGGAGAAAAATGTCATTAAGGGAAGTTTTTAAACATTTGAAATCATGGCGCAATTACCTAGCAAAAGGAGAACGAGATCATCCTGCAATCATGTCGTATATATTCAGTTTTAGTCGATCGAAACTTGTTCGAAAAAAGTAGAACCAGGTCCTACAGTTAGAATTTTAGTTGCCAGACAATGCCACATTACTTGATACAATGCATTGCACTCAATCTGATATAGTAGAGTATGGAACTTCTTGAAGGATTATCGTCGTCCCTTTTTGTCTAAGAGCGGAGCAAACCCAGTGGTAGTTTCTAAGGAGAAATTAAGGGCGGGGTCAGATAAAAGGAGAAATGCGTTGTCCAATATCCTTGCCTTGTTTTGTAGCCATCGTGCACTAATTCTTCTTGTCTCTGTGCTACATCTTGCAGAAGACGAGAACATGAATTCCTGGCTTGTCTAGTTGGTTGGTCTTTGAAGGCAAGCAGATTGACCCGGATAATCTCCAAGCTGTTAAAAAGAGTAACGTCTTGATCATTATTCTCTCTCGGAACTATGCTTCTAGCAGATGGTGTCTTGGTGAATTGGTTCCGATGATGGAGTGCAAGAATAGCAGAGGACATGTAGTCTTGCCTATACTTTACGAAGTGGAACCAAAGGATGTGAAGCACCAATTAGGGTTGTTGGGAGAGAGATTTTGGTCGCGTAAGAAGTGTGTTGATGAAAAGGTTGTGGATGAATGGGAGAAAGCGCTCACAGAAATTAGGTCCCTGAAAGGATGGGATTCCAAGAAAGATGTCGATAGGTATTGTTTTACTTGAACCTTCTTACTTTCTGTGCATTGACTATTTGCTTTTCGATATATTATAACACATGATAATATAGAGGTGAGAAGTAGACGACTTCAATAATCTGGGGCAATCTGTTCCAAAGTTAGTTTGTTGATGTGCTATAATGAGATTTACTATACAATTATTATTACCCTAAACTTGGTCTCCAATTCTATTTGGCAGATACGAAGGTGACTTGGTAAATTTGGTTGTCATAAAGGTTTTGATTGAGTTAAAGAAGGCATTTGAAGTGGTTTTTACCGACCACCGTATAGAGAATGTCATGATACTTGTATATCATAATTCTAGCACTACATTATGGGATGGGTGGTATTGGCAAGATAGCTTGTGCTAAGGTCATCTTCAACAAACTTGCTGATCAATATGATGGTTCATCTTACCATATTTAAGGGTAAGAAAGTCCTCATTCTTCTTGATGATGTGAATGATAACGATCACTTGAAGGTTTCAGTTGGAGATCATAAGTGGTTTGGGTTAGGAAGTAGGATTATCATTACTACGAGAAGCAATATTGTTCTTGATGACACTAGGTGGACTTCAAGTATAAACATGAGGTAGATGACTTCCCTTAGCTCTTGAGGTGATGGATTCAAATTTGGAAAAAAAGTTCTCATTATTCTTGATGACTTCCTTTAGCTCTCGAGGTTATGGGTTCAAATTTGGAAAAAAAGTCATCATTGTTCTTGATGACTTAACTTAGCTTTGAGGTTATGGGTTCAAATTTGAAAAAAAGTCCTCATTGTTCTTGATGATGTGGATGGTAATGATGAGTTGAAGCTTTGGGTGGAGATTATGAGTGTTGTGGTCTGGAAGTAAGATTATCATTGCCACTAGAATCAAGATTAGAAGCAAGATTGTTTATGATGACGTTGGGTGGGAAAGTTTGACAATTATGATGTCGTTGAGTGAGAAAGTTTGACAATTATGATGTCATTGAGTGGGAAAGTTTGACAACCCTTGTAAAACTCTATGGGAGAGTATTTAGAATCAACGTTGGGCGAATGCACTAAATTTGAACTAACTTCTCTCTAGTTGGAGCAATTTTGATGTTGTATTTGTATTGTTGAATGAAGGCCTCCACCATATTCTTCCATTTCTCGATCTTGTCAGGCCCTGGTCCAGTGAGGATTTCTAGAAAAGTTTGGATCAATAGAGGCAAAGTATGAATATTAGATAATGGATCGGTATTTGATCTTATTTAGCATGCATCTCTCCTCCAACTAAATTTGAGTTTCTCTCTCATGAAGTGGTATCCACTTCAGGATGGTGCCCTTTAGCTCTTGAGGTCATAGTTACAAATTTTGTTCGGAAAAAATATACTGTTTAGAAAGAAGTTGAAGATAAGCTACAAAGCATTAGATTATGAGCGATCAACCGAGAGATCTTGGTAGAGAAATTGTTCGTCGAGAAGATTACAACAAACCTCAAAGCCATAGCAGGGAGGTTGGTCTACTACAAACCCTTGAAAGTGCTAGAGAACAAGGTAACTGTTATCTCTGTCTTTCTTTTGCTTCACCGGTTTAAGTTATCTTTTTTCAAATGAATATTAATCTTTTTGATTAATGCAACTCTTAATGAAAAGAATGCTCGAACAGAAAGTAGGAGTTTTATCTTAGCAATTAACAGAATATAGTAAATTAGCAAGCGGATACTTGAATATTTGCGTTTTGCATCTTGCTTGACTGATATAAAAACTTTGGGTTCTTATAGTGGCACAATGACACTAAAGAGTATAATTAAGATTATTGGAATCTTTAATTTGTTCGGTGAACTTTCCCGGTTCGAAAAGACACCCAAAATCAGTTGTTTTTATAGTATTCAAACTTAACATTTACAAAATCACTTTTAAGAATGTTAAGAATTGATGGCCAGGCCATTGCTTGAATGGCATAAAGTGAATTTTGTTAGACATTTATTTGTGAATTTTGTTGGTAAATTACAAACATATTTTGAGTACTCAAAATTGAATTTGTATTCAAAACAGTTATCAGTAGTTGCTTGGGCAAGGGTGCTGGGTGGTCCCAGTCGGGAGAATTTATGTGGGCGAATTGTGATTTTTAAGTATCCAATTTATCTCGATCTCTTATATTTTTTAGATTCTAATATGAACTCCTATCATCTTTAGACCATATAAATTCGACTTTCTAACGGAATTCAAATCTCTAGAACTCTCTCTATGAGCATTCGGCTATAACTTCGTTTATTTAGCTAAAAAGAATTATACCTTCACTTACTCGGTCTTTATAAATAGTGATTCATGTTAACAGTAAGCAAAGTGATATTAATAAATTACCTGTTGGCTAGATAGAATATTTTTAATTTTGGTGATTACTTGTAGGGAACCGAAAGGAGGACAAAGGTGGCTCCGAGAGGTCAAGCTGGGACAAAACAGAAGGAACACTTTGTGAGAGAAGTGAGCATTGTGAGTTTGAGTTGGGTTGAAAGTGTTTTGAGGAGATATTCCAGCACAATTACTCGTTTGTCAATCCAAAATAGTTCAAAATGTGTTTGTCTCATACAATTGACAGAAAAGTCTTCTCTGCCGGCCAGTGAGGTTCTGAATTGAAGTCTTTCTTGCAGGCAGGGAAGTCTTCTCTATCAATTGATTGGCATGAACACATGGTGAACTATTTCAGCAAATACTTGATTGTCAATCCAAAATAGTTCACAATGTGTTTATATCATACAATTGACAGAAAAGTCTTCTCTACCAGCCAGTGAGGTTCTGAACTGAAGTCTTTCTTGCGGACAGGGAAGTCTTCGCTAGCAATTGATTGGCATGAACACATGGTCAACTATTTCGGATTTGCCGACTTAAGGGACAACAGAGTCGTTGTGCTAAGATTATCTCCGCGAAACACTTTTTGTCGCTGGTAATTGGTATCTATCATTTTCAAATTTGGAAACTAGAAACTGGATGTATGATACTAGACCTTTTCTAAGAGCCACTTCAAAGAATAAAATTGTCTTTTCTTTTCTTTGGTGGGCCTATTCATCTGTGTAATCTGTGCAGAAGTTTTCTAATGCCGCTGGATGCTAAACAAACGATCCAATGGCATCTTAAATTAGAGCCCTTTGAATTTAGCATGACACATGCTTATGCAATCAGCACCACCTGTGTAACTATTTTTTACGTAATTTACCTACCGAACTAAATCCCCTCTTCTCCTCATCACACTTTCACCATAATCCATCGTATTTGCATCCGAGTGAACCTGCATTTTCGAGCTTATTACCCGTAAACTGTAATCCCACGTTGCTTAAGTACATGGTTAAAACGAGTCTTGCATGCATGTAGTTTTTCTCCCACCTAATGGTTTAGGCTTTTAAATTTGAGCATCCTAACATGATAGCAGAGCACAGATCAGGGTTCAAATCCTAGCAATCCGCTGTCAAACTCAGCTCAAGGTGGGTTTACAACAGCCGGGCTTACATAAAATAGGTCTCGCGCCTATTTCACAAAAAAACCGAGATGAGTCGTACACTTGTAAGCGGTCAACTTATATGCGAGGGCGGGTATCACTTAAACGTTGTGATTACAATGCGCTTCATATGCATATAGTTTTCCTCCTGGCTTGAATTGTCATGTTTGGCATTCTAAGTTTCTGCGAAGGCATTATTAGGTCCACAACAGGTAGAGGCATCGATCACATAATGTAAGCATTGGGCTACAAACCTGCGTGTAAATTTCTTTCTTCTTTGTTTTTGGGCCTTGGACTTTGCTTCAGGAGCCGTACCATTTTGGTGTGGAACTTACCTGCATTTATCGTTAACTCAAAGTTCTCACATCATTATGAAAAACAAATCAAAGCGAGAATGATTATTTAGTGAATATACGGTGACTCGCTGACCATTGATCAAGAGTAAAAAATGATCATGATGCATCGTGTTATAAAAGATTATTAGGACGGAACAGACTCATCCAACAATGGATATAATAGCGCTTTATTTATGACGTCGCATGCGATAATATTCTCCGGCTTTAATCAGAGAAAATAGAAAAGGAGAGCGAAGGGAACTCGTCGTGGCCCTCGTGGTGGCTGCTCTTAAAGACTTATTCTACAAAAATATACACTTTATGATTATTTGCAAACACGACACCGTATACACCTATACATATAAGCATAAATATTCCTTAAAGACTCGCCCTCGAGTTGGAGCGTATATGTTTATATGTACCCAAGTAACTTGCACGAGGACCAGGAAGGGGGCTTTGATCATACGAGTTTCATTAACCCGATCCCAAGGCAAATGGGCCTCGGACCATAAGAGGTCCTGTAATAACTGAGGAGGATTAGTGAGCCAATTACGAGGAAGGGCCTTAACTCGATGAATTTCTCACGATCCAATCTGCGACTTGGTTGGCCTCTCTTAGATGGTGGACTACTTGAATATCTTGGTATTCGCCTAACAGAGCTTTGCATTCGGTGATAAGAGGAACCACATCACATGGTGGCGTTTCGTCCTTTGTGGGGTAGCTTATCAAAGACAAGCCATTGGGAATTGGAAATCGATCGTGCCGAATTGTGATGTTTAGACGTTGCATAAACTAGCAGCGTATGCTCGATCAATCCTTTGCTTAACAGCCCCAATCAATACATGAATTGGAGTTGAAGTGGTGCATTGCGTAATTCTGATGTTTTCTATCATCGACTTCATTCAACCTAAAAGAAGTATCCTAAAAAGTAGAGTATTTGCTAGATTTTGGAACTTCTGTCTTCTATCTTTTTTTTTCGAATTCTGTCTTCCATCTTGGGCGTTGGACTTTTCTTCATTAGCCGTACCAAAATTATAGGTGGAAAGATTAAGTTTTACACAAGTAACAAAAATCAAAGCGATCCTGTTTTGAACGATGATTATTTACTAAATTCATGGTGACTCGACTCATTATTTATTGATAATATATAATGATCATGACGCTCACGTCATAAAATAGTCTTACGATGGAACAAGCTCATAGAACGATGGATATATAGCGCTTCATTTATGAGGTCATTTGCGATAACATTTTATGACTTCATCAGAATACGGTATGACCCCATTTACGATATACTGATACAAAAGAATTTGATATCGCGATAATGAAAATCAATAACATATTCGAAAAATTACCATGATCTATCTACCAATCACGATACTTGGTCCGTGATTTAAGTCATGAACCTCTCTATTTTTCATTTGCATTGGACACACATAAGATCACGTTATCACACAGTTTGGTGAATTTTTCATTTATATGATGGGATAGCTAATTGAGAGATTATGTCAAACTCTCACTATTCACCAAGGTATAAATGTAAGACAAAAGAGAACAAAATGAGATTGAATGGTTGGGATTTTCCGAGCCCCTTTTCTAATTATAATATTCGCTGCAACTTATGAGATCGCTTGTTCCTCAAGACTCTCCTTCAAGTTGGAGCATACATGTTATATATGTCCCCAAGTTGTCACCAATATAACTCACATGAGGACCACAAAGGGAGTCGGCAAACAAGTCGACGAGTCGATCATTCCCGTTCACAAACGCTGTTGCAATTTCCCCCCAATAAAGTGACAATTGATCTCGATATATCTAGTTGTTCCTAGGAGACAAAGTTTTTCTCTAGCAAATACACGGTATCCAGTTGTAGATTGTTGTCTATTTAACGGAGAACCGGCCTAAACTGCATCTATATATCCGACGACACCATTATATCAATGATCAGAAATAGCATCCCCCTCATCTGGAGTTAGCTTCATGTCAGGGTCCAAAGGAGTATCAACTAGTCTTGACCCAAGCATGCTCATCTCTTCCGACAAATCCAAGGCATATTTTCTCTGACAAACATGTACCCCCTGTCGAGAACGCGCAACCTCGATCCAAGTAAAAAGTATCGCGACTGACCCAAATCCTCAGTTTAAAATTATCGACGCATACGTGCCTTCAACCGAGCAATGCCATTCGCATCATCTCTAGCAAATTCATCTACGTCTCTAATCCATCCAGTGGAGAATATTAATATATGCTTTTATACCAACTGCGTAACCTAATAAAAAAGAGGGTCCTTTTCAATCAAATTTATTTGGCATATATATATTTTTTTTGGTCAAATATTTGGCATATTGAAAAATGAACTCATGCTTAGCATAGTTCAAGAGGTGTCAAATAATCAAAATTAACAAAATGAAAAAGAAATGATTGCGGGCATGAATTATTGCCGCGACTCGACCAATAAATAGTTCGGAGACCAACTTGCCCTACAGACAAGTACCTAAATCACATCCATCTGACCGAATAGGATGCCGACACGTGTCCCACCAAAGGCTCGCACGTGGTCACGCGAGCCGAGGATTGGTCCCCCCTACTTCGGTCCTCCAATCCCAACATGAGTCACGTGCGTTGCACGGACACGTGTCTTGATTAACCCAAAAGAAGGTCGGGAGGGCCCCACACGGGCAGTGTCTCTTTCACGTTTACCTTAAGCCTGACCCGACCCAACGTGGAAGGAGGAGAGTAGGGTTTTTTTCTTTTTACCACGTTTACAAGTGATTTTCACAACCAAAATTTGTAAATTTTTAAAAGGAAAAGATCAATGATTTCGTCGTTTTAGTGCGATTATGTTTACACATCCTTATTCAATTTACCCACTTTTACTTAATTGGGCAAAGCTAGAATGCTATATCATCCTTCGCATTTTTTATGTGCAGTTAACGGCACTCTTCTTTTGCTGGTTGAAAAAGAAAACGAATGTCAGTGTGTGTTTGTTTCGTGCGAAAGCTATTTTTCGGGAAAATGCTTTCGGACTTTACATGTGTTTGAACATGGGAAAATGAATCAATCGGCGGAAAGTCTTTTCTCTTGAGCGAAACTCTTCGGTTAAAAAGCTAGAAAAGTGGGGGGAAATACTAAAAGAATACTAAATCTATTGCATTTGTGTCAATTCAATCATAAATATTTTAATTTGATCAAATTAATCCTAAACCTTTTGACAATTTGCCGATGCAGTCCATCCGACCAATTTTGACTGAAAATCGCTAACGTGAACGCCGATCGTTTTATGTGTCACTGTTAAACACTGACATTGACAACTCCTTAATATTTTTTTTGAATTTTTGAATTTTATTTATTTATTGTGACCGACGAGGGCCTATAAGCTCTCGTCAACCGTTGGTGAGGGTCGTGACCCTTGCCAAACCCTCTCCACCTATTGCCTGTGGCCGGTCTCCAACCATCGCCTATGACTAGCCACTGGCAAAAAAGAAAGAAAAAACATAAAAAGGAAAAGAAAGGGAAAAAAGAAAAAAATCAGAAAATTTTTAAAAATTTGTCCACATCATTGTCGGCCATGCCACTTAAGACGACCGACACCAAACAATTTGTTTTATAGGAAAACAATTTACCTAATAAAATATTTTTTAGCGACAAGGACTTTTCAGTGAAATAAACAGACCAAATTATTCTCTCGGAGCCAATTAGATTGAGTACTTATGAACTACCCTTGCATATAGAAATGCACATCCCCCCATTGGGATTCTCTCAATCTAGAGAGATTAACTGATTCAATTTACCCTCTCGATATCATTAAACTCACTATAAATGCTTCTGAAGTCCACTGCTAGTACATGTTCTTCAAAATAATGTGTCAACATGAAAGATCACTTCATTAATTAAATTCGGCAAATACTTTCATATGAATCTGCATAACACGAATTATCCACGTAGCAGTTCGTCACGATATATGAAGTTTTCATGAGCAAGCATGCAACATAATCTTTAAAACTGGCTAATTATGTTATTTTACAAACTTGATTAATTTGCTAAACGGCCTCTACACTCTCCCATGATAGTTTGAATGGACTTGCTTTTATCAAACTCGAACTAATTATTTTTTTTCGGGCCAGCAAAACATCTACTAATTGTTGAAATGATTATGCATGAGATGGTAGTTTAAATAAATAAAGAACGATTACACAATTTCGGACGTCGAAAATCATCAATAATCAAATTAACATGTCTGTAATTTTTTTCATTATATATCAATTCTGAAGTCAAAATAAAACAATGTTCGAAAAAATATGGTCATGTTTTGGAGGCCTACTAATGCTTTATTGATATGACATATTTACTGAGAATTTTATATTTGATTTCAATGGATCATTAAATGAATAAATCACTTCAGAAAATATCTTTTGATATAGTTAAAGACCATTCTAGCTGGAGAGATAACCAATTTCAAACCCTAAAACTTTAAACATGATAATGAATACATGAGTAGTTTGGATTTTTCTTTTTCTTTTTTGTTATCAAGAAAAATAACAAAAGGCTGGAAAAATAATAAATACGTAGGATAAATTATGGGAATTGACCTCCTAAGAAAAGAAAATATTTCTCATCGTCACTTAGTGGAAGAACAAAGAAAATGGATAAGGCGGCGGCGGTGGCCCCTCCCCTAATGGCACGGCCGCGTCTCCGATGTACCCCGACTCCCAACCACTATCGATGCCACCGCCAAATTCGCTCGAGCCAAGTTGATGGGGCAACACTGCCCCAGCTCCGTCATCTCCGCCACCTGCTCCGGCAGCCGGCGGAAGCGACCAATTAGCCATTTTAGGCTCGCATGCCACGCCAGCAACTCGACCCGCGCTCACGACCTCCCACCTCGGCACCCCTAGACTTGCATTAGCACCGTGCCAGTTGGGCACAATAATGTTGGTATCCTGCGGTGGCCGTAAATGGGTCCGCCTGTCATCCTTCTCTTCTTCATCCATGATAGAATTGGACATATCCGGTGCCCTAGAGAAGGAAGAAAACGACGATGGCGACGCCGACGGCGATGGCGATAAGTTAGAGGAAGAGGATGATTTCAACAATCTCCTCTTCTTCTCACACAGCAGTTGCCTCGTCCTATCTTTCTCAAGCATCATCCTTGGAATCAACTGTGGGTCCTCCACAATCTTGTGCAAGAACTCCATCATTTGGTGTGGCCTCCTCTCTGTGGCCTCTAGCCTCTTGCTCATGCCTTCAAGCTCCTGCTCCAATGTCCTTTGCTCTTGTCTCAACCTGCTTATCTCCATGGCCACGTCTTCATCTTCCACTTCTCCATTACTGTTCACAGTCTCCGGATGAGCAGTGTTTATGGGGTTATTCTTCCTCCTCGCTATCTTGCTCAAAAGATGAGTTTGGCCCCGGAGAAAGTGTTCATTGGCAAACTCCCACTTGTCCGGATCGACCTTCTTAAAACCCTAAATCGCGTAATCGGGTAAATGACCGATTAATGAACGACTATTCATTTACAGTAGACACGTTTCTAATTTAATGGAACATTTTCTTGCAAGAAACACACTGATAATGTACACAAACATGTATCTTGACCGCAAGAGACAGCTGATGAAGGATAATACGATTCATCATCGATATTTAGGTCAACCATTCAACCCGAAAATGATAAAACAATCAAGCACGCGATGTGCTTCACTCACTTCAACAACTAAATGGCAAGTCCTTATCAGAATTGCAAGCACGACCCAAAATCGATTCCGGCCGACATACAAACTAAAACTCAATCTAGCGACCGATAAATCTTGTCGTGTGACAGTTCGTCGAGCGAGCGCTTACATAGGTGTTAAGTTGGCGAACGAAGCTCGAGAAATTGCCGTGCTTGAAGTAAGCGGGCAAGATCCTGAGGGAGAACCCAAGAGGGTCCGTCACGATGAAGCTGTTGTTGGCCCTGCCCCACCTGACCAGATCGTCCGTCGTCGGGTCGCTGACCATGTGGTAGGTCTTCGCGACGAACGGCGCCACCGCGTTGTCCCCGCTCTCCATCTATCAAGCTGCCAAACACAACTAGAAACAAAAGAAGAAGAAGAAGAAGAAGAAAGGAAAATACGTTGTTTCAGTTGCTATGAATCAAGGCAAAGTTTTCTTTGAAACGGTGAAGCTCCGCTGGGAGTATTTATAGAGAGCAAAGATGCAGTCCCCAGTTGCTGCTGGAGGAGGAGGAGGAGGAGGAGATAACGGTGGCTCGGATCTGGACGGCTCTGATTTTGTCGCGATCACATAGGACCCACGTGGCGGGAACCCTTTTGCTCCCCCCCTTCCTTTATCAACGCCATCGTCACTGTCCAGCGCTCAGATATTTTGCATCTTGGAAAAACTTCCCCCACGCGCAGATTCTTACGTTTTGGAAGCCGTTCTAATATCAATACAAGAAAAGGATATTCTCCAAGTAACAGGTAAGTAATTAACCAATTTCGCAATCCCAATCAATAATTTATCAAGCTCATTAGTAATTTCGCTCCAAGAAAAAGCAACATCACCCTCATTTTTCTCCTAAACATCCTTCTTTCAGAGTACGGGAGTAGACTCAATTCGTTTGGTTAATTCTGCGAAAATATATGTTGGTAACATTGATTATCTATCGCAATGAACAGATACGAGGAAAGTTGTTCCATACCTGGAGGATTTTTTTGAATCACCCAACACTCGAAATATATTGCCCCAAAGTCCTTAATTTGTCCCCCACCAGAACATGTTAGAAAAACTATAACATCGGCAATGATAGGATGTTTGAGCCAATCTATGAGCATTCATTGCTATTTGGAGTAAAAGAGAAATGCGACTTTTGACGTGTCGCAAGGATCAAGATTCTTGGCACTGCACTAAGTTGGGTCACGGGGCTAATTAAATATTTGAAGCTAAGAAGATATTTTCTCAAAGTTAAGCTTTGTTTATTAAAAGTGCCCAATTTCTAATCAGGGGAAAAGGGATGAGGACAAAGAGGTGGCAATCTATGTATGGCTGCTTTCTTAGAGTGTTCTTATAGGACATCTTTAGGTGTAATTAACACTATCACATTGGTTTTTAGCAACAAAAATAAAAACACTTTCACATTGGTTTTTGGAAAACTTTTTGAAAAGGCACATATAGTTTGTCCTACGTTGACGCCAAACACCCATTATTCATATGACAATGAAAGGCAAAGAATAGAGAAGGAACGCGGTGCGAACGTGCTTCGTACTCGTTTTGAGAATGGCTAGGGTTTCGGAAGAATGTGCCACTCGTTCAATGAGAAATGGAAAGGAATATAAATAAATTACCTAAAGCCAAGTACCTGCTTTCGAGGTAGGAGGAAGAAGAGCATCGATTGGAGTTGGAGAGTTGGTGCCAAAAAAGAGGATTTCTCGTTTCTTTCATTCACTCAAAACTGTACACGAGACTTTCATCTCACACGACTCTTAAGTGATAAAATAAAAAATGACTCGTCTTCTTTCTTTTTCTATTACCTTTTTCGCGTATGTATAAGCCCATTCTCAAAAGTATTACTAATTCTCAACTTTTCGAGGAATCCTTCAGCAGTGGATGTAAATAACCGATTTGTTTAAAATCTTTTCGATCTTACTGAAAGAAACCCACATAAACACCATATAAGGAGATTGTGAATGTTCCACGTCGTATTGCTTATTTTGTGCGAGTTCACCCCATAATTTCTTTCATCATCGCTACACCTATTCGAACTCTACATCCACTAGTTGATTGTTATCAAAAGGTACCGGGCAAAATTAACTAAGTTTTCCTCGAATTCTCTTAGTACGTATGGGCGTACGTTTGACTAGACTTCATCTTGGCTAGATTTGAAAAAACCCAGAAACCATGTTCGTGATTTTCATTCCATCTATTCCCGAAACTTCTAATCACTTCTTACTTTTCCTTCAAAATTCTAGACAATAACACGACATTTCAAATGTCGAAAGTATTACGGCGGCCATGCTCATTGATGATTGCATGTTTTTATATATGTTAAGCAACCTAAAAATGAAAGACGAATTTCATTTTTGTTTTGGTAAAAATGAGGATGAAAGAACAAAAAAAAATTAAAAGGGTAGGCGTAGGAGGCACGCGCCTGTGAAGAGCGTGGGGTGGGGGGAGTACATGAAGATTAGATATGTTTTCGAAAGAGAGGTAAGTAGTAACCAATCAGAGAACGCAAAAGAGCGGGCCCCGAGCAGTGGCCCTAAGATTCGGGTTTGACATGGGAATCAGATTTGCTTTCTAGGGTCATGCCGACGTGTCGACGCGCCAATTTGCCACGTGGCAGTTCATTTTGGTCCTTTTTTTATCAGAGCGTGGCAGTTCATTTTGATTGGATATGGTCATGCACCAAAGCCGTTTTCTTTCAGTCACAATCTGAGATTTGGTCTAGGTGACACGGTAATTCATGAATCCCCCGAGTGTAAAGATTGGGGATCGAGTTATCGTGATTTCGATCTATCTGCTTTACAAAACGCTAGCAAAAGGCCGGGGGCCCGGATATTCACATGTGAGTTATCTTGTTTGAACTCGACATGCTCGATTTAGCTCGAAAAGATATGAATGATACGGAAAAAAGCACGGAAAACAAGGATGAAGGGTTATTTGGTTTGTCAGGAATATTTCGATGCTCATATTTCGAAATGAATAGTATGTCTGACATTGGGATTCACTTATGAAGTTGACAATCCGATTTATTTTCCCCTGACTTACGCTAAATCGACCATCTTAACTAGAATCGACGAGAAAATACCATTGAAATGATAAAATCAGGCGTATGATGATATCAGTTTACGTTTTCTTGAATTACATAAATCAAATAATTCATGTAAAGCTTACAAAATTGTGTCAGTTCTCTACTATAAAAAAAATTTTAAATTACTCGTCGATTTTTTCTTCCTCTTCTTCCAAATTGCGAACTCGAGTTGAGCCTTGCCCTTGCCCTCGAACCATCTTTTCTCCATGTTCATATTGTCATCTGCTCCGCAATCAAAAGGTCCATTGCACTTTTCTAATTACGTTCAACAGTGCAATTCTGCTGATGCCATTGTGCACATCATTCAAAAGGCCCACACAAAACTTCTGCTGTGCTAGAAAAAGGGTCTTTCCCCAGCACAAAATTCAATTATTTTCTCGCGACAAGTGTCTGGACACCACTGGTCCTTCATTCATTTTAATGACAACCCCAACTGTGCAAGTGTCTTCATCATGCACCCTGGAGAGAAGGCAGCGTTGCTTCTTTTGGCAACTTCAACAAGATTGTGATAATTTGAATCTCAATCTTTCGAGCTGAATTAAATTTGGTATGGTTGGGCAGCCAATGAGATTTGCTTGTGCAAGATTTGGCATGAGATCCTGACCCTATGTTCTTGTCCTTTTCCCACCAATCTAGAAAATGTGGAAGGGAGTGGAACTTTGCATTTGATTGGTTGAATTAGCTAATTAATTATTAGAATTTCATTTGGGGGTCTAGAGTTTGACGAACAACTCCCAAGCAAAATCTCCAAAAAAATTATTAAGAGATGGTCTGACTAATCATCTCTTGTTATCAGCCTGCTCGCCTCTCTGATTGGTCAGTCTTGCAAGATGAACAGTCACAGTCATTGTCAAGGTTAACCGACTTCAATTAGTGAGAGAGAGTTTGTCTCCGAGCTTAGATCCCAAGCTCCCTTTTGGTGAGGGCAACTGTGATGGGACAGAGATGATGGTGTCTTTCCTTTTCATAAATGTGTATGCACATAAAATAACAGAGGAAAGGTCAAATGCAGGTGGAAAAGGATCCGAGTTTGTGAAGGGGGAAATTAGATTTGAAAGAGACTTGAGACTTGAGACTTGAGACTTGAAGATTCATGGGTTTCTTAGCCGTGAAGATTATCCAATCTAATAAGAGAAGATTGCATTTGTTTTTTGTTTTATTATCGCCCACGGCGTGAATGATGCGTCACGTCTCCCAAACTTTGACAATTGCTCTTTCGAGGACGAGACTATCTTCGCATCTAGGGAATTTGGGATTTTTGTTTCGGATGTGGTCGCACGTCGTAGGGAACATCGAACAATTTTGGGTAAAAGTTTGAGTGTTAAGTTCCTTTTGAGTGGTTGAGTCCCTGGCCGATATGGTAGTTGGGTCCACCAAGATAGCGGTCTCGACTTATATATTAAGAGTTTGATTGGAACTTGTCCTCTTAACACCATAAATCACCCGTGAGATATACAGGTAATGTGACATCTTGAATTAACCCGCTGAGGTAATGTCCGCTTTGGTCCATCATATACCGAGCCTGACGGTTTTGTCCTTTGACGTACAAGTGGGCACCTTCTCGGAAGGTCACCTATCTTGAGAGTGCTCTCACCTGAGCACGCTTAATTTTGGAGTTCCAAAACTAAATATTGCCGTCACGTAAAAAAACGTCTTTTTGAGTTAATTCCAGTTTTCACATATATATCTCAAAATCGCTCTCCTCATATTCAATCTCTCCTCATATTCAATGCATGGTTCGGTTCATTCTTACCCCCTACACCATCCTAATAGCTTGTCATGAGCCGTTCTTTGTCTAGGCCCTCTGGCCCCAATGACCACTTTCTGCTCTAGTCGGACCGGGTCGTTACAGGTCCACTAGCTTTCACCTGATTCGTCCCCGAACCACACACCAATTAGAGGGGGTCTCGCTCTGATACCATATTGTAATATACCTTGATTAACTCATTGAGATATTGTTTGCTTTAGCTCGTTCCATACCGACCCTCACAGTTTTGTCCTTTAGCATACAAGTTGGTACCTTCCTAGGAGATCACTCATCCTAGAAGTGCTTCCACTTAAGCACGCTTAGTTCCAAAGCTAAGTATTGCCGTTACGTCAAAAGGTGTCGACTTGAGTTAATTCCAGTTGTCACACACACGCATATTTTAGAATCGCGCTCCCTCTATTCGGTATGTAATTTGGTTCATTCCTACCCTCTTCGCAATCCTAGATGTCTGTTAGGAGCCGCTCCTTATCCAAGCCCTCTGGCTCTGGCGACCACTCTCCGCCTTTATCGGACTGGGTCGTTAACACATAATACGTGCAAAATCGTCATTGGGACTATCATACTTGCCAACCATCAATTGTTGATATAAATAACGTCCTCGTCGGACTGGGTCGTTAATCATCATCGGGACCATCATACTTGCCGACCATCAATTGTTGACATCACTAGAATTGAAAAGGAGACTGTTGAGTTCAATTCCAATCCCATTACACTCTCTCACAACCCAGCAACAAATTCATTCAAGTAGGAGTTGCATCCATTCTTCCTTCTAAAGCGTATTTAGTACTTCTTTATCTGAACGTTTCATCTGTCCATATGCCGACACAAATCCATGCACTTTGGTTCACCTAACTTATAAATCAGGTAAGTCCCGCCGGCTTGCACGTGAGACCCACCAAATTTAATAGTTCAAATGAACTCGGGGTGTATGCACTCAATCCAATCGACAATTTCTACTCCAGATGACGCCGAACTTTATTACGCCAGATTTTTAATCCGTTCATGATTCGAGCTGAACCTCCACTAGCCTTGTCGTGCCGTGTCATTCGCTATCTTTTCCAGTTGTGTGTGGTTGGGACAACATTCACAGAATAGGAGTGGTTCTGCTGAATCCACAGATTTGTATGAATATATATTTTCTCGAGTTCAGTCTCACAAAAGAGATGAACTTCAGCTTATTCGAATGACATTATCATGCCCACAAAGAAATCACCCACAAACTCATCCATTCTATATTTCATTTTCATAGCAAATCAAAGGCACATAATTTACAGAATATGCGAATCAAGCTCCACGTAACTCGCAAGTTGTGACACAATTAAGTTACTAAAAGCACCATAAGGAAGCATAAGACAAAACCGCATACCGACCTCGGACGATGCACCCGACCTGAAACTAATAAACACATGCCAACCAGGACAACTAGCTGTCCTACTTCTGGTGAAGTCACACACCAGAAGATACCAAAACACCGCGTTCATTTAGACGCTTCTGAAATTGGGCCAGGCGCGTCTGTAATTGCAGAATCCCTGCAGCCTTTTCTGAAAGAATGCAACTTAGCTTAGATATGTAGTCATCCACAGGATTTCCTAGTTGATCGGCTTGAACGAGCAAGTTCATCTCCTGCATTAGAGCTTCGATGATAACAAATCTACATGCAGAGAACAAAAAGGAAGAGACGAATAAAAATAACGTAGGGACTCACCTCTCTAACAATCTCTATTGTCTGCTCCACTTGCTGCCGATGAGCTGTCACCAGATCTTCCTCTTCCTGGTATAAAACACAGCAACACTCCACTAAGTAATCGAGTGATGAATACAGTAAAATTGAAAGAGAATGGCTTCTATGAAATCACCTTCAGCAATGCACTTAGATCATCTTCCAAGTGAAGGTTGGTTGCGTCAAATTCTTGCACTTCCCTTCCTTCAAGCTGAATTTCTGCTCTCCGTTTCTCCTCAATATCCGAAATTTGAGATGTCTCTACCTTGTTGATAGACATCCTTGTTGGTTTCTCCAGCACATTGTACTCCGCAGAATAATCAGAATCTTTCAAAATTGGGTCCTGCAGAAATCCTTTCTGTTGTTTATAAGCACCTGAATACAGTGATTCTGCCACGTTTCCTTCACACCATCCGCCATCTGTACCATCCACATTGATGGGTGGAGAGGCTTCACGGTTCATCCGTTTGGGCCGAAGAAAATTTTTCTTTTCATTGGCAGTTTCATCCATGTTATTCTCAAAATTTGACTCGGCCGTTGAAAGTGAACTAAGGGGGAAAGTAGTAGAGTCTCTAATGTTCAAAGATGAAGACATCAGATCCTTTTTGGAACTGTTCCCTTTAGATAGACTCTTCACCCTGGAAAATTCATAAGAGTCAGATAATTCGAGAGACATTTCCCAAAATCCGTTCTTAAATGTCATTCAAGTACCTGTCAGCATATCTCAGAGTATTAAGAGTGTGTTCACATGATCCAGAGCTAGGTGAAATACATGATATCATCACCGTTCGTGAATCACCAACAAATGAATCTCTAAGAACTTCAGTCAGTTTACTCCCTCTAAATGGTATGTGACCCTGGTCGTTATCAAGAGCTCTGATGCATTCTTTCAGGGCGAGTAAGCTTTTGTTGATCTCAGCACCCTCCATTCTGGAGAAAAGTATTGAAGAAAAATTATAATTCAGTTGTTATTTTATTTTTACGATAAAGTTTTAATTAGTTCAGCAAGCTAGCTTTCTCTCCATGTTTCAACCAAGAGGAGAATAGCGCATCTTTGTAGCCCAGAGATCTTCAAAAAATCCTGGGCTCTAAGTTGCAAATAAATCATATTACTAGAAGGAAGCAAAGAAGGTTAATGCCACATCCAACCGCAGGTTCTTTTATATTGTTTGTTCATTGAAATGCTGAAATCATACTCAATATCATGACTCTTTTTTCTCAATGTACATTGCGGCATGGGGCTGAGAAAATGGAATGATTGCACCAAAGGACCTTAAACAAATCCCCTCTCAATTGTTAGGTTAACATATAAATCCAAGCAAAACGCACCTTGTCAGTTTGTCATTGTCAGTAGTATCTGCACCGCGTTCACTTCCTGCAAGGTCTATAAAAGAAAGTTTTCCAATGAGGCGTGCAGGCTTCGATTCCTTGCCATCAGCCGATCTTTTAATAGCAAGCTGAAGAATTGCATGTGACCGAGAGGACTCCTCATTTGCCCCAGTTGTGCCAGTACTTCTGGTAGCATTCCCTAACTCAATGAGCTCTCTGATTGTCTCAACATTTGACACTTTGTATTCTTGCAAACCAACAATGCACACTTGTTGTTTCCCATCCTCCCTCATGCAGAGTTTTCTGCAGAAGATAATATCTAATTACCTTAACTTTTGTCTCATTAAACTACAACAAAATGAAAGAGCATACCTCCGGTCATTGAGAAGGTCAAAAAGCTTCCCTCCATAGATCTCAAAGAAACTGACAAATAATTGAAAACCTTGGTTTTGGTATGTATGATGCATCAGCCGCAATATATCTTGAGATGCTTTAAGGGGCAGTGGTTGCATCGTATATGTTTTTCCACTTCCTAAAACAAATAAGATCGAGTTAATCTCATCAGTAGTAATAAACAGGACGAGAAACAATTGACAAGCCTGAAAGTCAAAAGAATGAATGAAAGAAAACAAACAGGAACAGAATGGTTATAAACAGTTCATTCACTTCAGAAGAGCAAAAGAACTTGCCTGTCTGCCCATATGCAAAGCATGTAGCCTTTGTTCGGTTAAAAATCAAAGGAACTATTGGCTGCACAGTTTCAGAGTACACCTATAGGGACATGAAATGGGCACAGAAAAATTAGGGGCCTATCCTGCAATCTCCATATATGAAGTCTTGCAATATAGATATACTCACTTCATCATTAGAAACACTCTCATTTAGCACAGCGTCAAAGACAAATTCATGTTTCTCCACATATTCTGTCAAGTCAACCTGCACGAAGAGAAGTGTGCTAAAATTAAAATATAATCAGCTCCTCAACTGCATAAGAGACCATATACTGTATTTCTGCCATGGGTAGAGGGTTAGAGCTAACTGCTCAACAATCCAAAGCACAAAAAGAAAAAGAGTAGTGAGAAGAAGCTTTAATCAATACAATGAGCCGAAACTTACCTTAAGTTTAGTTTCATGAACTGTGAGAGAACTCGAATTTGGTTCTATTGTAATAATATCTTGCTCTTTCTTTGCTATTTCTTTTCGATTAAGTGGCCTCTTGCGTACCTGCACGCGAAGAATAATTATTGCGTGTTGGAACAGATGAGTAAAGTAAATAATCAGATGAAAGGTTCCAAATCTCTCTTTACATCTATGCTATATGCATATGAAGACTTGGGAAACAAAATAAAACAGATCAACACACTAGATTGATATTGTGTAATATAGGTCCAGATGGTATCAATAAGAGGCATACCACAACTTTGATCTTGGCAACATTATTGACCCTTTCTTTGTCTGCTACGAAGCTCCTGAGAAGGTTGTTCTCAGGAAGAATATGGTCGTTAAGTTTGTCAAAAGAAACATGAGGCTCAGAGACAAAACTTCCGCCACGAACAGTTTGATGAAGTGAGGAGTACTCATCATATAGGTTGGAGGAGACCTAACAGTAAAACACATGGGAAAGACAGTGAAACATCCGGGTGAAAGTGCCATCCAAGCTAACACAAATTCGCCCATTAAAGATCAACATTCAAGAAATGTAGAGGTCAAAAATGGCAAGTGGAAGCATTGTCTTGAGCGTGTAGCACAACAGAGCAAAATTGAAACTTGAGTTGCTAGACAATCATAATCCAGAACCAACATCAGAATTTTCTCATTTATCTCACCTCCTGAAGGCAAGATAATAGACGCTTCAATTGTGAAAAAGGAGATAACACGAAAAGGAAGAGATCAAAATTTATGAGGATATAGCCTCACATCTATTTCTCCTAAAGCCTCACAGTAGGATTAAATACCATAAAAATTCTATGAAAGAAATGTCTTCTTCCACTATGTTTTCTTCCCGACCTGAAAAAGACATGCTGGCTGTGTGTACTCTGTGAAGAACGGAAGGATATCAAATCTAGAACGACAATTCTCCATTCTCTAGAAATATGGTTGGCAAAGGAGATTAACCATTATTAAAGCTGCATTTACGTGGTTACTCAATCTGTCCAGACAATTTCCTCATGTAGATTTCACGTGATGAGGAGGATGAAGGACAACCAAAACATAAAGAGGAAGCATGCAGCAGAGAGCACATATCCACAGGCAAAAGATTTAAAAAAAAAATAAAAGAAAAAACAGAGTCCTCCTGCTGCGATATACATATCGTTGTCTTACGAGAATGTAGTGGGTGCAGAACGAAGTACTCCTATGAAGCCTTCAGACTTTGAGTAGTAACTCTCATCTCAATAATTACACTCAATAAATAATTCACGACATCCCCAGAAGGTCTATTATTGACTACTGGGACAGTAACATCATCTATGCATTCCCCATATAAACAAGAAAACACGTACGATCCTGACTGAACTCAACCGCAAGTTCTAGTTCGTATCGCAATGCGTGGTCCTGCATAAATACAACTCGCTACACTACCAGCACATGATCGATATCGCCATAAGATGCCCTGATTGTACTGTCCGGCTCTCCAGAACAGAGCCCCAAGCAGGCAAATCATCAAGAAACGTATGCAACCGCGCATGGCGAATGATACAATCCCAATAGAACCCGAAACAAAAAGCACCCGCGATCCGATCACTGGGTAACGACGCCGAAGAAACCGAAAAGATGCGGACTTCGGGGCGATGCTCTAAACAAGAAGGCGCGCATCACCTGAGGCAACAGCTCGGTATCAAAAGAATGGAGATCCAGCAATCCGGAGCCGAGCAGGCCGTGGGACGTTTGATCATCCTCGTTCCTCCTCAAGCTCGAGGACCTCGAGTACACCGGGGGCGTCCCGGGGTTCGACGACAGCAAGCTCCTGCTCGACCGCGAGCCCCGAGCTCCGACTCCAAAATCCTGCACAGCACAGAGCTTTCCTCATTGCCTCGACGGGACACAGAGAGAGTGGGAAATGCGAGAAAGAGAGGGGAAGCGAGACCTGGCTGAGGTTAGCGGACTGGAGCCACTTGCCGTGGAGGGAGGAGTCGAGGAAGTTGTCGGAGTACTGGCGGTGGTGGTGCGCCGCCGTGGAGCCGGACCGCGACATCTGCCTGCCGACGGCGTTCATCTCCTCCTCCTCCTCCTCCGGTCGCCGACCAGCCGCCGATCGGATCAAGCTTCGACCTCCCTCTCTCTCTCTCTCTCTCTGGAAAATCGCCGGCCGTCGACGGGAGTGAAAATGCGAGAGAGGGAGAGGGAGAGAGTGGTGGCGGTTGTTGTTGCGGTCTTGCACGAGAAGAGAGAGATCGAGAGAGAGAGACTTTTATGAACTGATTTTGAAACGAAACGCCCGGGGTGGGGGGTGAGATTCTTCGCTTGACCCTCGTGTCGTGTACATGTGCTAGGCTACGCGCCCTCGAGATTTTTCGAACCACCTTTTTTTATTCGGTTTTGGAATTCCGGGGCCTATCGCCGGCCCGGCGGCGGCAGCTCGCCCGTCGCCCCACCCACCCGCGAATCGGGAGCCCCCGGGTCGATTTTCTCGACCGGTGCGGATTTATAGCGCCATCGAGGTGCGTAATAGCTATCGAGTTTGAGAAATTTAGAATCAGTTCATGGAGTAAATTCTTATTTGGGAGAAATGCTGGCTACATATGAAGCTTACTACCGAGTCAACTCGACATCGTACATTTTCTGGAGCTCGCGAATCGATCGCTCGGGACCAAATGGATGTTGAACTTGCTCGAGCAAAGGTTTTTCGACGGACATGAGCTCGACTTAATACAAAACTTAGTTCCAATGTTAAAGATGCGAGAAAATAGTAGAATGATGTTCACGTGCGTGCGTATATAATAGGGGTGAGCATGGATCCGGAGAAGAACCAGGAACTGGATCAAATCGGCCATCGGAACCGATCTGGTTCCAACTTCTTGCAGTCACTAGTCCGATTCTCGATCTGTGCCGGTCAGTTTCCGGTTCCTAGGTAAAAACCGGATGGGGAGCCAACAAATTGTGGTTATATGTTTTAAACTTTTTATGGATTGTTGCTATTGCGTTCACTTTCACTTTACTTAACTAAAAATGAAACAAAAAAAAAATAAAACAAAATGAAACAAAAGAAAAAGAAATTGGCCACTTTTTTAGTAGACTCTAGAATCAATTGATAGAGTAGGTTCCAAGGTATGTAGAGTAAGTTTTAGGTTTAAAAAGCAAAGAACCGGTTCCAACATGGTCGATCTAGGTTCCATCTAGAACATATCCTAAAATTTGGACCGACCCTAAAACCGCTTACACTTAATATTCAAGGGATCTTCCATGTAGAAGTGCTAGAACTTATAAAAACGTGACCCACTTTGATTTTGCTTAAATTGGCAAGCTGTTCAATGATGGTATCTTCAAGTCGGAGCTCAATCCAAATATCCCCTCCAACCACTCGAGTTCTAATTGTTTAATATACTGAATAGGTGATGTGGCTTCTTGAGGAATTTGTAGTGATTTTTTTCCCTCGAACTCACATTTTACCGCTTTTCACCAAACCCAAATTTACTATAATCATCGAGAAAATATCTAAAAAAATTATATATATTTTTTATTTTACGCCGCAGATATATAATTAAATTAGGCAGAGATGCATAGGAAGATGCTGCTGCCTGTTGCTTTATTAACACGTGAGTTATAATGTAACATGAATTGCAAACCTTTGATGAGCAGAACAGAACTATAAGAAACTAAAAATTTGATTAAGTTGATACATAAATATTGAAAATTTGATTTTTAATGAGTCCGAAACATTCGCTTGCAATTCTGAATATTATATTTAGACCTTCAATCGAATCGTTAGAGAATACTCGAGTACCGAACCAAGTATAATTGACGTTCGAATAAGATTTGCTCCTTTGACAAGTTGATCCATGCGGGACTCATGACATCTGATCTCATTTGATCCTCAAAAGTAACTTGAAACATTCTATCATGAAGTAGATAAATAGATGAGCGTGACATTTATGTAAAATAATTAATAGCACTCATACGGTTATTATCGTCTTGGGCTTGAGTAAAAACGCCTTGAGTGAATTAGAAGAAATAAAATAATTAAGAGCACTCATATGGCTTTTAATAATTTCACATATAATCCGAGGATCTTTACAGATGTTAATATTTAATTTTATTTAGGGTTAATACCACAAAAAATCCAAAATCAGTACACTTGAGATAAATTTATCACAAATTAATTTTTTGATCACTAAAAACCCCAAACTGGTATACCCGCCACAAATTTATCCTAAATTAATTTTGTGACCACCAAAAACTCAAAACTGGTACATTTATAATAAATTTACCCCCTCGTTAAATTATATTAATACCACGAAAAATCACAAACTGATAAATTTATGACAAATAGAGGGGTAAAATTCTAAATTGGCACACTTGTCAACTGCTACGGGTCATCTAACTCAGCAATTTAAAGGTAAAATTTAACGAAAACTAACATAGGATAAATTTATCATAGGTATATCAGTTTATAATTTTTTTTGTGATATTAATCATTTTATTTATTTCAATACGGACATTTTTTTATGTGCAGCGCTGCGAGTGCGAGAGGGGAGCGGTCACGCCTTGTTGGGTTGGCGAAGGGCAGAAAGTCATCGGGGCTGGTCCCTCCCTGTTCTGTTCCCGGTGGCCCACTCCAGTGCGTTGCGGATCTGGTCATGATGGTGGTCGCGACGCCCGGATCGCCGTCCGTTCGGCGCCCATCCGACGGACCGCGTTCCCCCCCGCATCCGACAACTGTCATTCTCTTTGACCGGACAACGAAAGGTGATGGGTCAACGTACGGAAAAGGATTAATTAAAGAAAGGGGCCAGGTGATCAACGCTGCTCTCGATTTCAAAGAGAGATGATTACGGTGGGGGAAAAGGAGGACCATTTCGAAATTGAATTTGCCCCCCCACGCCCCACACTAACTTTAGTCTCCCCTAGCTTTACGGATGGGGTCGGGTCGAGTTTCCGGACCCGTGGGGCTATTGGCGAGGTAACGCGCGGAATCGATTCCTTTACGCCGTGACCGTCGGCTAATTGGGGTTTTTTAGCATCTCGATTGATTAGTCGGGCTGAGTCCTTGGCATTTGGAGCTCGGAAGAAGATGCACGATCAAATACTAAAAATCTTCAATGACGGATTTTCGACGGCAAAGGGTCTGGAATTCATCAAATTCCATGATTTTTTTAATAAGTATATTTGGGGTTGCACTGATGACAACAAGGTTGAGATGGCCGAGTTGGTCTAAGGCGCCAGATTAAGGTTCTGGTCCGAAAGGGCGTGGGTTCAAATCCCACTCTCAACACTATCTTGCTTTTTTCAACTTTTTAATAATCTCTTTAGATTAAAGAAATGGAATATACCACCACAAACCCAAAAATATGATTCAACTTTTAAATTTCTTTTTAGATTAAAGAAATGGAATATACCATCACAAACCCAAAAAAATGTCTGCCGATGCCCAAATTTTTTTTTGTGATAAAAAGTTAAAAAATCAATATCTAAACTTTTTCTATACCACCAAAACTCTTAAAGGAGGAACTCATCTTCTCAATTCAAGAATGCAAATAAATTTCCGTGGACCAATCATCTTCAGCGACCCAAACTCCGTGAAAGTCCATAAAACTAATTAGCGAAAAATTATTTCACTCAAATAACACATCCATTCGACCCAGAAAAAGAGAAAAAAAAACCAAACATACCCGCTATTGTCTTAAACGGATATGGTTTATGATTTTCAGTGGTATTAACTATATGAAAAATAAAATAAAACTCAACAATCGCATCTTGAATTTTGCTTCTTCCCGCGCACTACTTACGATTTTCCGGTCTCTCTCTCTCTCTCTATCTATCGCGCACACAGACACGCAGAGTCACAGGTAGAAGAAGAAGGAAGAAGAAGAAGAAGAAGAAGAAGGAAGGGAGATGGCGCAAGCAGCGAGGCTGAGCCTCCGGATGCAGAAGGAGCTGAAGCTCCTCCTCGCCGACCCTCCTCCCCGCGCTTCCTTCCCCTTCCTCTCCCCGACCTCCTCCTCCGACCACCACCTCTCCTCCCTCTCCACCATCCTCGCCCGTAAGCCCCACCCCCGCGCCTCTTCCCCTCTTGCCGCCCTTCATTTTTCTGTTGTTTTGCCCACTGTATCAACGCTGATCGTGCCGGGTTGTTGTTGTTGTTGGTTTCCAGAAATCGAAGGCCCCGAAGGGTCGGTGTACGCCGACGGCGTCTTCAAGATCAAGATCCAGATTCCCGAGCGGTGCGTTTTCAGTTTTCTATGGTTTCGTTTTCGTTTCTGAGATGGAAAAAAAAGGGATTTTGGTGGTTGGTTGAGTTTGATTCGGGGGGGCTTTGTGGAATCGCAGCTACCCATTTCAGCCTCCGGGCGTGACCTTTCAGACGCCGATCTACCACCCCAACATCGACACCGGAGGCAGGATCTGCCTCGACATTCTCAACCTTCCGCCGAAAGTGAGTCCCTTTTTGGATTGTGCACAAGGACAGCCCAGGGTTTCTTGTTCGAATTGCTTTTGCTGCGATCTGTAGTTCGTGTGTTCCGTCACGTTTCGAATAGATTTTTCCCGCGTTCAACCATTGCTGGTTTTACAAGTAACTGTGTTTGGGGGAGTTGCTTTCTGGGCAGATGCTATATCTTTTGCCGTTGCTCATTAAGGTCGATCCAGACAGGTGCATATTTGAGTTTGCCAGCCTGAATTGGCTTTTCATTTAGTGCAAATTGACTATCTTTCGAACGCATTTCCTTTTCGTATAGATAGTAAAAATGGGGTTTGCAAATTAGCCCTTAAATTTAGCGCCTCATAGTATTCTTCTTGTGCCGATGAACTTGTCATTCTGTTAACTGATCGTTCTTCGCGCTGACTGCAATGTTGCATGTCGTGTTAATTCCAATATTTTGTTTGGATATTCACTATTTGTAGTTAGATCATTGTCTCAGACAAGAATCTGTTACAGGTGCACGGCATAGCACACTTTCTGTACTGAAAAGTCATCTATGCTAACAGTCTTTTGCAATTTGTTATGTACCCATTCAACTGCCAATGCTACTATGTAGCAGTGGCTGGCACAGAGTTACTGCCGTCAAGGATTTACATTGCTGATGGTTGGCATTGAGTTTGTAGGAATGTGTGTTGTATATTGAAATCCTTACTAATACGCTCGTCCTGGTAACCAAACAGGGGGCATGGCAACCATCACTGAACATTTCAACTGTATTAACAAGTATTGGGTTGTTACTCAGTGAGCCAAATCCAGATGATGGTCTTATGTGTGACGCGGTGAGTAAATCTGCTAACAACGTTGGCTGGTTCACCCTATAGGATGAAGTACCTTGAAGCTTGACATATTTGCGTGAATGTGCAGAGCAGGGAATACAAGTATAACAGACAAGCTTTTGATGAGAAGGCAAGATACATGACTCAGAAATATGCCAAGGCTGGAGCTAGTGGAAGTATCTGTGACAATCCATCCATGGAACTAAATTCCAGTCCAAGCTCGGTATCACAAACCTTCAACTTGCTGTCATGGTTGCATTATAAGATATAAGTGTTTTTATAATGAAACCACCTTCTATCTGGGGCATTGGCTGGATTCATACTGTTTTTGCATGTTCTTAGATGTTTTTATGGCTCTAAACAGAAAGAGAAAAACTTCGGGGTTGAATTTGAATTTGCAGCATCGTACTTGGTCAAATTGCTTCTTTATTTATTGACTTATCTTGGCACTTCATTAAATTCGTGCTGCAGATGGAAGGTGACCGGAGTATGAAGGAAACTCAAGATAGAGTCAATGAATTTGAACCTGTCAAAAAGAACCTAAGTGGATTCACTAGGAAGCTCTCATTGATATGCTCAAGCTCAAACCAGAGAAAAGATGGTGATGGGGAAGTGAATGATAAGTGTAATCCCTGGGAGTCTGCCTCTAATAATGAGAACTGTTTGGATGTTGACAAAACAAGAGATGAGCAAGCCGTCCGAGAAGGAAGCAATCACCAAACTCCGGATGGAATGGGCCTGATCCCATTGTTAGCACTACGAGAAGATGTACTCCGGGACAATCACGACCGTGACAAGGAGGGTGTGGCGCCTCACTACCAGTCATTAAGCCCTCATTCGCTTCTTAGGACTTCAGATTCTTTTGTGGTGCAGTCTCAGAAGCATCTAGATCAATCTAATACTTCAGAAAAGGAGATTGTGGATTGTACTTTGGAGAAGCCATTTAGTGAGCAAATGCATCCATCCACAGCTTCAGGTTCGTGCCAGTTAGTCAGTGGTATCGAAGCAGAGATGCTCAAGATGCCTCGGTTATTGCCCTCAATTGTCCTTGATAATTCATTAAAAGGTTCTACTGAAATGCCTCGAAAAGGTAGGCAAGCTGAAGTGGACTCACAGAATGATTTGAGTGGCGATAATTGTGATGGCTCTGCCGGTACGAAACGTAAGAAGCTGTGCCTTGGTGGGAGGCAGCTTTCTCTCGGACTCAAGGGCTCATACCAGAAAGGAGACGCAGAAGCTAAAGAGAATTTTGGTCCAACTGGCAAAGTAGAGCTTTCAGGACCCCATGACCCTTCTATGAAAAGTGTAGCAGGGCAGAAGTCATCGTTAGGTCCTCTAGCTCAACCGCGGGAGAGTGACAAGCGTAATAGTCAGTTCTCTTGCTCTACGGCTGTCTCTAAAGACTGTTTCGACTCAAAGCCCGTGAAGCCAGACCATGGTCGAAGAATGAAGCGGTTAGGTCGAGATCGAAATGTGAAATATGCCGAGGAAATTAACGAGAAGGGGCCAAAAGAATTGCCCACACCAGATTCAGTGATCGTGTTGGATAGCGAAGATAGCGAGGATGAAGGGAAAGCATCATTGATGGGTAAATCCGTGTTAGCACGAAAGCGCATTGCCAAAGCTAAACTCAGGGCATAGCAAGCTGCATGGTTCTTACGCAGGACAGTGACCCGTCGTTGTTTCTTGTGTTCTGATGGTAGTCTGGAAAGTTTTGACAGGCTAAGAGGCCGCTACACTACAGAGACTAAAAAAGGATTTAGGCTTTACTACAGAAGAGGCACAGAAGGAGAAATGTATGTTTATATATGTCGGAACAGAGTCTATGACTACTATTTGCACCATCTCTGATGCTAGTTGCTAATTCAGAATAGTTCTCATCCGCTGTCAGTGTCAAACTGTTGCATGCTAATCGTGGATTAACCTTGATACTGAAGACAATGATATCAAATCTGGCAATCCCACAAACAAGGCTCATGAAATTCAAGATAGATATGTTGTCCCACAGACACGACCCTTCCTTGACCTTAACAAGGGATTGTTTTTAGTCTCTAGAAATCACGAATCTATTCTATAAATATCTCAAGTTTAAGGAGTGCTCTGATCTGTCCATAGATTGGCAAGTGGAGAGCATACTCATGTAATCAATTCACTTCACCAAGCTAACAGTGTCGCTCGACATCTGATGACACCAGACTTTAATGGAGAGAGAAGGGGAAGTGTTTAGAAAGACAGAGGAAACGTGTATGCTATACAGATCTTATCCAAACTCGGTATTATTTTGCAACCGCAGGACAATAAAAGACGAAAGCAATCCATTACTCACATGCATCTTCATAAGATGCTCTGACAAAGCACAGAAGCACACTGGCACATACTTTGGCTGAAACTGGCATATTTATTTCGAGAGTACAATAATGCACAACGAGAGATCCGAAATATCTCGAGGGAACATGTCCATGATTGTTCCCCATCAGAGAGCACCCACAGCATTTCCATGGTTTCGGGTCTGAAGCAAGTTGTAGCCTTTTTATGTCAGCTAATAGCTTATACACTCCTAGACCAGCTAATGCGATTTTAAAAATCCTCCCTTTGAGCTTCAGTGATGGAGTTCCCATACTCTTCTCGACTCTTTCCATGAGCTGAACCATCTGAATTGGTCACGGCCCAAAAAGTTACCGGGCTTGACGATCTGCAGTTTTTGAGGGGCCTTAATACCCTGAAAAACTCGTTTGGGTCTCAATTTTATCATAAATTTTTTTTTCTTATTAAAGATTCTCAACTTTAGGTGCAATTTCAATTCTACCATAAACTTTATTTTATCTCATAAAAATCTCTTAACTTTAGGTTTGGTCCCAATTATACCCTAAACTTTTTTTGTTATATAAAAAACTCCAGTTTTAGGTTCAGTTCCAATTTTACCTTAATTTTTTTATCTCATAAAAAATCACCAACTTTTACTTGAAATAAAATTACCCCTAGTAATCCTTCCATCCAAAATCGCTCTTAGTGATCTTATATGGCATTTCCATTCCAACTTTACGATAATTTTTCCCCAAATTCCAAATTCAAGAAGATATCTTTTGGAGATGAAATTCCATATTAGCGCAAACAACATTTTCTTGGATATGAAATTTGGGTAAAAACGAGAGCAATTAGGGCAGGTTTTCTTCGATTGTTCTTGCTCATGAGAGAGTCTTCTTTTCATCTCGCTCGGGAATCTTCGATTTTGTGCTCGGTATTCAATCTCTTGTGCTCGGGAGTGTTCCATCTCTTGCGGTCATTGAGCTCGAGGCACTCGAGACACTCGGGACGCATGAACAGCTCATGCTCGGGAGCCGGTGGGGGTTAACGGGATAGATTCGAGACTCGAGTAAACCGATTTTTTGATTTGAGATGATTTGGCGCCGGATGCGGGAGCGAGGGAGTTGGTCTGGTGAGTCTCTGGGGTCTCGCCCGTCTTCTCTTCAGTCGCATGTGTGTAGTCGAGGGGCCGCGCTCTCCCGCACAGGGAGGTCTAATGGCGTCGACGTGCCTCCCTGCGTCCGCGGCACCCTCTCCTCCTTCGTCGCCTTCGACTTCCCTTTCGCGACGCCCGCCGTCTCGGCTCCCGCGGATGCCCTGTTCACCGGCGTCGGGGCCGGGTTTTCCGCGCGCGGATCGCGGCGGTCGGAGGAGCAGCAGCGGCAGCAGAAGAGCGCGCGGGCTTGGCTCCGGAGGAAGAGAAAGTTGAGCACGCCCCTCTCCATTCGGATAGCCTATGGGTAATTCTCCACCGTAAATGGTATGGCTGTTGCTCTAGAAGTGGCTCGAGCTGGTGAAGTTGGATCCGTGTTAGGATAGTTTCGAGAAGAGAAATGTGGGTGAAGGTGGAATCAGAAGCCTGGGAAGAAGGGCACAGTTGGGATTGTTCCGGCCGTGATTCATGGAAGAATAGGGCCAAAGCCGTAGGTTAGTGCTGCTTCTTTTTACAGAACTTGGTCCCTGGAAAGGACTTGATCTTGTTTAGTTTTAGTGAAATTGGTCTTATCTGAGGATCGAACTGGCAAAAGTATGTATTTTGCATCGACAGATGATGCCGGGTTCAATCAAAACTTATTGGAATTTGATTCCTAGTGTACGTAGGTCAGCCTCATGCTCAAAGGAATACCGCATTAGTGCCCTGCTGTCGGGAAGGAGGAAGATCATTATCTGCGCTGCCGAAATTCTTTTTAAGCTTACATATGCTGATTCCGGGGAAACATCAGTTGCAGCAGATTGGCGACCGAACCTGAACTTTCATTCAGTTAGGAATTTTTTGTTTCTCCGATAATACTCTAGTGAATTTGCTTCTGATGTTTTGTGATTAGCATCATAAGCAGTATGCTTATAAACATTACAGGAGTGCTTCCCTCGGTTTAGTCCCACGAAGACACCGTTGCCACCACCATTGCCATAGGATCCGGCAGAGGAGGATGAAGAAGAAGAAGGGGAGAATCCTGAGAAGGAAGGGAGGGACTCGCCTGAGAAGCAGTAAGCAGAAGACTCCTCGGTGATCAAACGTTGCTCCACCTTTGGACATTCTTTGCAAGCGATTGCTCAGTATGTCCATTACAAGTAGGTTCGATCTATCCTGCCTACTCAAATACAATGAAAACTGAGAATCTCGAAACACGTTTAGAAATTTCGGTGGATTTTTAGATTCTAGTGTAGGATATTGATTTGTGTACTTCTCAATGTAGTACTGCGATCAATGGACAGTATATCTACTAACTGAGACCTGACCCATGTTTTCATGCATCACTTAATGAGGAACTTCATGATCCCGTTAAAAACTATCAAATTGCAAAAAATTCACAAATATTGCATAGTCGTAGCTCTGTGCCTAGTTGTAATTAGAGGGAGTCACACTGGATATAGCTCAACTTATTCAGGAATGGGAATTATCGGTAGGCCTCATATCATTATAAACAAAATATTTGTCAAGAAAGGAACTGTAAGAATACTAATCTGAAGTATCACGGACTATTTCTATCTCGCTTCCATTATTGTTATAGATACATCATTGATGGAATAAAGATTCGACTTCCCGCTGGATGATTCTCCAGATTCACTTTTGCCTATGCAGTATGCTGCTTGTTTTGGATCTGGTAGGAAAACGTTATCATTTGTAATCATTGAAATAACATCAGACATGGTCGGTCTATCTGTGGCACCCTCTTGAACACAGAGAAGACCAACGTGGATGATTCTGATCAGTTCATTCTTCGGGCACAAGGAACCGAGAGATGGATCCATCAGCTCCAAAATGTCACCTTGACTCCATAGGTCCCATGTCTGCAATAAGTTCAATATTCATAAAAAATGTCAGAATTTGCATCAAATTTGTGAGTGGAATAATCTGATATGTCTGAAGTTTGAACCACATACCTGCTCTATGAGGCCAACAAGAGTAGATGATGTGAAAACAGTATTTTTCCTGCCAGTAACAATCTCCAGAAGTAGAACTCCGAAACTGAAGACATCAGACTTCACCGAGAATATTCCTTTCATGGCATACTCGGGAGACATGTAACCACTGCACATTGTTACCCACCATAACAGGAAAATGTCAGACATGTAAGAACTGTTTACAAGACAAATTTTGAGAGAACTGTGCAAGGTTGCTTAGAGATACTGTGCTTACTATGTTCCGACTACCCTATTGGTGTTAGCTCTGGATTCATTCTGCCCAAAAATCCTGGCCATCCCGAAATCTGATATCTTGGGGTTCATATCATCGTCGAGTAATATGTTGCTTGCTTTTAAATCTCTATGTATCACTTTCAGTCTTGAATATTTGTGGAGATAAAGAAGCCCTTGTGCGACACCTTCGATTATACTCAGGCGCTTATTCCAGTCCAGCAATTTCCTTTTCACTGGATCTGTCATTTTTATATTAAAAAATACAATTGGCAGTCGACAAAAGAATTATTTACGGCAATGGACATCCACTACGAATAACTATTTGAGAACCCAAATTGACCGATCTATCTACTCACCGAAGAGAAACGTGTCCAAGCTTTTGTTTGGCATGTATTCATAGATCAGCATCTTCTCTTCCCCTTGAATGCAGCAACCCAGTAGCTTAACCAGATTTGTGTGTTGAAGCTCAGCGATCAATGTAATTTCATTCACGAACTCCTCCAGCCCTTGTCCTGAATTTCTTGAGAGCCTTTTCACTGCAATTTGTCGTCCATCCAGCAGGATGCCCTATGTATGGTAAACCTGTCAGCACTCGCTGACCATCTATCAGATGGCATTTGGAATCATAGAATAGAGTCTTTTACCTTGTAAACTGGTCCAAAACCTCCCTGTCCCAGCTTGTTAGCAGGTGCAAAGTAATCTGTCGCGGCATCTACCTCAGAAAAGCTATACTGCTGAAAGTCGCTGCGACTCGTTTTACTCCGTTTCAGACCGAATTTCTTAGAGGGCATCATCTGTTGGTTTAGCAATGCATGGTTCTGCTTTGTTTCTGACTCTTCTGCAGATAAAACAGAGAGTATTTAGACTTGTACTCTATGTACCCTACCTGGTGAATATCGTCAAAACAATCTAAAGTCCCGACCATTGTCTTGCAGAAGCATCAGCTTTCTCTTCCTTAAGTATAGAAGATAACCCGATATTAGCACAGCCGCAGCTATGACAGTGGCTGTGAGTAACCATACCCACCACTTGTTTTTCCTTTTGCTCATTGAACCTCCTTCAGCTGGAATCCATAGCAAATGAGAATTACTTTAATGAAAGTCGTTCTACGTGCAATACATTGCGGATAGCTGTATTTAGTCCTATCATGCCCCATTTCACATTTTGCAAGCTGCTGTAACAGGGGGCTCTCAGTTTGTAACTTTGTCGCAATTAGGGTTTTGCATTTAAGTACTAGTTAGAGATCTGACCCTTCAGAAGTAAAGAGCAAAACACAAGGCTAGAGTATATTACAATATGCACAGTGTATTTAGATCTTTTACATACCATTGTCAGCAGTCGAGGTAAGCACGTAGAGAACATCAAAGTTATCATTTGGAATATATGTTCCTCCCCTGTTCCAAAACTCACATCCAGTTCCATCAGTAAAAAGACTCCCAAAAGCTATGCAAGAGCAATTGTTCCAGCACATGGAATGGCAATCACTCAGGGTCAAGCTTGAATTATGGTCAGAATAGAGCAATTCCCCTTTATTATAGTAGCCTCTCTGTTGCACAAACAGCTCCGAGCCATTCCTACAAGCCGACGGCTTTTGATCTACACACACAGCACCCGAGTAATTCCCATTCGAGTTGCACGAACTGGTACTTGAGTAGAGCCAATTAGTACCATCCTTGGCCAGAGTAGACCGTACTATTTGACCCCACAGATTAATTTCCCACCTTGTGATGGTGGAATTGTTCTTCAAAGAGAAAGTGAAGTACTTCTCGTTTTCATCCGACACAAAGCTGAACTCATATGCTGTCTCGTCTCGGGTCAGCTCAGGTGCCATCTGAAAGCCTCCATTTTCCCATGCTCCACTGGTCCAATATATCTCCTCGCGGTGCCAAATCACTAGCTGGTTGGCGCTTCCAGGATCCATGCCTAGACGGAAAGCTCCTGGACCTGGGTCCCGGTCGCTTAGCCATGAGGTGAGTGTCCAGTTAGTCCCGGCTTTTATGTCTAAACCCAGTTTCATTCCTGGAAGTAGAGTGCTCGATGGATGATCAAAACTTTGCCACAAAACCCTTCCCACTGTTCCATCAGAATTCACCTCCCTCAATAGCAAATTCCCGGTATCGAGCAAAGTGAGCGTCACGTTAGTTGTGACCGGATCATTGGAACTCACCACAATCGTCTGGCCACCGTTTGCAGTTATCTTCAACCTTCCATCATTGTCCAAGTTCAGAACTCCAGACGAATTGAAAATAGGGTTGTTTGGATTCGCCACCCAGACAGCTTCGGGATTATGAGGTAGTTTGCTGTACCAGATTCCCAAGTATCGGTAACTCGAGGAGCCTGGGCTGAAGAAGCCTAGTTTGAACGTACCTTTTGGAGCAAGAAGGTGTTCCCAGTCCTTCAGCTGTTGGCCCTGCATCAGCTGGAATACAATTTCTGCTCTGGAGGTGAACGAGAACAAGAGAACAAGGAGGAGGGTTTCGAGTTTCGCCATCTTCTTCTGCAAGAAAGATGACTATTGATATCTTGCAGGAGTTCTTTGCTTTAGGCTCTCATCTGGTGCAAGAATGCGAAATTGTCTTGGACAAGAGGCAAAGACAATGGCCTAGGAGTTTTCTTATTGGGGCTATTGCAAGATCTTTTTTCTGTATCTTCTCTTGTTAGACTAATCTACACATATCTTTTGTAAATTTGGTGCTCAAATTTCCAACGTGGGGACACCTGAAAAGTCATACTATAGTACATTAGGTGCTTAAAAATTCTTTAGTGGTTTGACTTTTCTCCCCATTAACACCCTTTCTGATTAGGATATCATTTAGTGTCATCCTCACACTTTAAACGATGAAATCAAAACTGTAGACATCGTACGTGCGTTTACTTTGAAAAACAGGAGCATGAGGGGCCCTGCAAAGTATTCTAGAAGATTGCATGTTCATCTACTTATTGCAGTAATGCGTATAGACAGAATCCAGTGGTTGCAGCTGAATTAGTGGACTCATTCTTGCACGGTTGTCTTTTGATGATCCAACTTGAGATTAAAAGATGGGATATTCCAAGATTATGAGAAAAAACACGTCTTTTTTTTATTAATAAAATTAATGTGAGATTAATTATTTTTTGCTGCTCTTTTGCATCATTTTGTTGGTGTGGAGGACTAGCTAGGACTGTAGGACTGGGGATTGTATATAATGGGTTGTAACTTGCAAGCAGACAGGATTGACCTAATCAAAATGTTGCCTTTTCTTCTTCTATGCAAGTCCAAAGTGCATCCTTAACTTGACTGAGTAGTCTTCAGATGATGCAGTATACTGGAGGTAAAAGTTGACTTCTTCTGGCCTGTTAGGCTAGTATATATTTGGTTTGATCCCTTGGTCAATGTTAACAGATCAGTTTGATGTATGCAATGACTAACGGTGTATACTTTCAGGGAATTATTTCTGAGAATACAACTATCTCGAAGTTTTAGCAACTTGATGAAGATGTAAATAGTCCCCGAGAACTTGCCCGAAACATGCCTGTTTCTATTTTAAAGCAGTTGCATTGGCTTCATGCTTTTCGTTCTCGTATTAGTTTTGGATCATCTTAGTTCATGTCCAAAAGTATGTGTAATTCCGTGAGAAAATCACTAGCCCTAGATGCACCGACATCTGCTTGGTTTTTCAAAGTAGCTTTCACTATAGGACAGGAATGGGTTTGCTCCTAAGAGAGATCCGTGTGAAACCCTTATGACCAATGATTATGATTAATCTCCCCGCAATTATTGGCCCACTTTTTTTGGGTTTTGTTAGCCATTATCATTACGTGATGAAGAGATGTCCCGAGGAGAATTCCGATCAAGATTTGGAGGAAATGTGTGGAAAAGAGAGGAGCCGCCAGAGAGAACGAAGCATTTTCAAGTTGTCCGCTTTTTTTGAAAACTAGTGCCAAAATGTGAAAACTTGTGCGTCTGCTGATCCTCTTCTGGTGGAGAAGAATCTTGGTTTTAGTTCAACCTTCCAAATCATGTGAAAGATTCACACCATAACTGGTGGGAAATGTGAACTGACACATAACATGTTTACATGCTCTATGATGTACTCCAACATGTTTTTTCTTCGTACAGCGGTCAGGTAGTATTCTAGGCCGAACTAAGTTCACACCGTGGCATGTTTGGCCACAGAGAAGCATTCCAGTTCAAAGTGATTTATTGGGTTGGAATTGAACTTGATAGAGAAATCTTCACTATGCTGTTCAAAAGAGGACATGGAACATTAATGTGTCCCTACTCAAACTTTCTCAGTCCCTTTTGGACACCTTGATTTAATCGAGGCAAGTACTTGCATAAAGAACAAGACCTGGTCAGCGCTTTGAAAATTCCTGAGCAGGTGAAATGAAGCTTTTAATAAACGATGAGCACTGTTGAAGTATCAATAGGAAGTGCTGTGTGTATGACAAAATGACTTGGCTTGATGCAAGATCACTCATTATGGGAGGGCCGGGCTACTCAGATTCTTAAACCTTGGCAGACAGCCGTGACTTGAGCTTTGCACATGCAATGAGTTACCTTGGGCCTTGAGGCCTCAGCCTCTTGATAACTTTTCACTCCATGGATCAGGATATCCCAGGTTCTCGTCTTGTTCCGCTCATAAACCACTTGCTATTGAGAAGGTACTCAGTACAAATGGTTGTTAATAGTTTGTTTTTAACAAACAAAGAGCAGTCTTGTCTTACATAGAAAAGATGTGAGTGTGTGGATCAATATATTAGCATGAAATTTTTATAGCCTTACAATTGAAGACCACGAGCTAAGTGGCCAATATACAATACATGTGTGCGGGTGGGCGAATAATTGTGCGATTTTAGCTCGATTATTAGGCGTGGTTAGCACTTTTACGGTGGCGGCGAACTAACAACAATGTGCTTCATGGGGTTGGACCAATCAGTGTGGTTGGCATGCTTGACCAAGTCGGTCGGGTTGACGAAGACGTCGTGGTAGAGGCGCATGATGAAGATATGCCCACCCTTGCCCTATTTGTAGAGGAACCCATCCAACTTCTTACCCTTTGGCCCATCTCCTGTGGTAGTGATAGTTAGCAACTGCTTCTTTCCTCTCACTCCATTGTTGTTGCTATTTTTTTGATAAGCATTGTTGTTTTGAATATCATTTGGAAGCTTGAGTCTCTTGATCTGCTTGTTATGAGAGATGTTCTCAAGTATGATGGCTGACTTCCCAGAGATAGCCTTCGCAGTAGGCTTTCCCGTTCGAATTTGATTGGTGAAATTAGTTGATAGTTTGGTTGTAAAACAAACAAAGAGATCCTGTCCCACAGAGAAAAGATTTAAGTGATTGGGCCAATATATAAGTGTGGAAGTCTTCTAGCTTTACAGTTGAATATCATAAGCTAAGTGGCCAACATACAATACCCGCGTGTGAGTGCATGAATAATTGCGCGATTATTAGGCACAGTTAGCACTTTGCACGACGGCGGTGAATCGACGTTGATGTGCTTCATGGGATCGGACCAAACAAGGTGGTTGGCGTACTTGACAAAGTCGGTTGGGCTGTGGAAGACGTCGTGGCAGAGGCACATGATGAAGATATGGTCGCTGTTGTCGTACTTGTTGAGGAACCCGTCCACTTTTTTGACCTTAGGCCCATCTCCTGTGGTGGTCACAACCAGCAAATGTCACTCCCCTCAGTCTATTATCGTTGCTATTTTTCTGATGAGCATTATTTTTTTGAACAGCGGTTGGAAGCCTAGGTCTTTTGATCTGCTCGTCCCGAGAGATGTTCTCAATCATGATAGCCGACTTCCCATAGTTCACCTTCGTAGGGTAGGCTTTTGCGTCTGAGTTTGGTTGGTGAGATGTGTTGATAGTTTGTTTGTAAAACAAACAAAGATGTGTCTTGTGCCACATAGAAAAGATGTAAGTTTGCGGGCCAATATATAATTGCGGAAGTTTTCTAGCTTTACAATTGAAGACCGAGGGCTAAGTGGCCAATATATAGTACATGCTTGTGGGGGCATTGCGTGATTTTGGTGCGATTATTAGGCGCACTTAGAACTCTACATGACGGCGGCGAACCGACGACAATGTGCTTCATGGGGTTGGACTAATCAGCATGGTTAGCATACTTGATGAAGTCTGTTGGTCTAAGGAAGACGCTTCGGCAAAAGCACACAATGAAGATGCGGCCAATCCTGCCGTACAAGTAGAGGACACTTTCGCCTTCTTGCCCTCTAGCCCATCTCCTGTGATAGTCACAGTCAGCAACTGCTTCATTCCTCTCACTCCATTGTCGTTGCTATTTTTCTGATGAGCATTGCTATTTTGAACAACATTTGGAAGCCTAGGTCTCTTGATATACTCGTTGTGAGAGATGTTCTCAATCATGACAGTTAACTTCCCATTGATCGCCTTCCTAATGTAAGCTTTTGTGTTCGAGTTTGGTTCATAAGACGTGTTGATAATTTATTTATAAAACAAGCAAAGAGCTGTCTTGTCCTACATAGAAAAGAAGTGAGTGTGTGGGTCAATATACAAGAGTGGAAGTCTTCTAACCTTACAATTGAAGACCATGGGCTAAGTGGAAGTCTTCTGGCCTTACAATTGAAGACCATGGGCTAAGTGGCCAAAATATACGTGAATAATGTCGCGATTATTAGGCGCACTTAGCATTTTGCATGGCGGCGACGACAGTGTACTTGTTGGAGATGGACCAATCATTGTGGTTGGCGTGCTCGATGAAGTCAGTTGAACTGAGGAAGATGCCATGGCTGAGGCACATGAAGATGTGGCCACCCTGCCGTACTTGTAGAGGAACCTGTTCGCCTTCTTGCCCTCTAGTGTATCTCCTTTGGTGGTCATAGTCAGTAACCTAAGTCAAAACTGTTGCATGTGACTATGTGAAGGCTGTCCTTCATGATAAAACTGTATTTCTTTACTTTTACTCATCTTCATATGATGAATTATGTGTTTTCTACTGTACGTTAAATTCTGGTATTCTGCTCTGTCTAGCTATAATACACTATGCACAATGGCTAGTTTTTTTTCCCTCAAACATGAGGATACTACAAAGCATACTGGACCTATCAAATCATCTTGTTCCGCTGTAGGAACCTCCATTTGCATTGTTGTTCCATTGTACTGTAGTTATAATAGTTGAAGAGTGAGATTGCTTCCCTAATTCTGAATTTTTTCCCTTTTTTTCTTTCTTTTTTTTTTTTCTCTTTTTTCCTTATTTCCGGTCTCTGGCTTTTTTTGACGAGGGCTAGCCTTTTTTCTTTCTTTGTTTGGGATTTGACGCATTTCTCACTCTTCTTCTGACGTCCTTTTTGGCCTGTACTTTAAGTGTCCTAAGCATTATTATGCAAAGAGACAAAGTTTCTTTATTAGGGTTGAAGAGAAGAAAGTCAAACATAGCGTGCAAACCACATTGATGTGCAAACCACATTGATTGGTCCATCCCAATGAGGCACATTGCCATTAGTTCGCCACTGCCGTGCAAAGTGCTAAGTGTGCTTACTAATCGTGTTCAATTTGAGCAATTATTTGCACACATGTTGGTACAATATATTGGTGACTTAGTCCATTGTCTTCAATTGTAAGGTTAAAAGACTTCCAAACTTATATATTGGCCCACATACTGACGTCTTTTCAATGTGGGACAAGACACCTCCTTGTTTGTATTACCAACAAACTATCAACATATCTCACCAACCAAACTCGGACGCAAAAGCTTACGCTTTGAAGGCGACCTATGGAAAGTCAGCTATCATGATTGAGAACATCTTTCACAATAAGTAGATTAAGAGACCTAGGTTTCCAAATGCGATTCAAAACAGCAATGCTCACAAAAACAACAACAACAACAATGGAGTGAAAGGAATAAAGCGGTTGCTAACTGTGACAGGGGCAAGAAGGTGGACGGGCTCATTTACACGTACTGCAAAGGCTAACACATCTTCGTCGTGTGCCTCTACCATGGCATCTTCTTCTACCAACTTTGTCAAGCACGTCTACCACACTGATTGGTCCAACCTCATGACGCAAATCGCGGTCAGTTCGCCGCCGGTGTGCAAAGTGTTAAGTTCCCCTAATAATTGCTCCAAATCACGCAATTATTTGTACACTGCATGCGGGTACAATATTGGCATCTTAGCCCATGGTCTTAAATTGTAAGGCTAGAATATTTTGATAATTATATATTGGCTAACAAACTCACATTTTTTCTCTGTGGGACAAGACACCTCTTAGTTTGTTTTACA